ATTCACTTGCTAAACTACTGAAAGTTTATTGCGATTTAAGCGGTCTAAAATATCACATTTTTCTCTAATTGTCAATGTTTTGTGCTTTCGCTTCTGAGTTTGTGATGACATTACTAGGTACGATACTTAATACATAATGAATAAATAGTAAACGATGAACGCACGCAAGGCCGTACCGCTATCACAAGTAGTCAAATTCAAACTAAGTAAAACAATGCTTACGCGTCGAACACGATAGCGGTGGCGCGTACAAGTTGTAACCTGTTCAAACCTGCGTGATCTACATTAGCGAAGATTGTCAAATACGTATGTATGTAATATAAAAAGACATGTCGGATTACAGGGGGCGCCGGATTAGACAGGGGCCGTATTATCGGGGGTCCACTGTACTGCAAATTAGCGTCCTCTTCAATTCATTATGTTTTTTTACAATGAAAATGGAAATGTTGCTCTGCAAACTCTTATAATATTTTGATTTTTTCCTATAAAAATATTTTTCCTGTGAAATTGTACTCTGGACGAAAACTTGTTCTCTAGATCAAGTTGCGCATATTCGGAATCTAACGCTAACACCCTCAGCGGTTTCAAGTATTTTTTTCTACCTCAAATTATACCCCGATAAAGTTGCTATAGAATTTTGTGATGTTGGCAGATACATTTGTAATGAATAAGTCCTTGTGAACTGCTTGCGAACCAATCGAGGGTGGTGAGGTTTAAGTAGTAACCGAATATTCAACATTTCTAGGCCTTCCCGACAAAGCTGAAGTACCTCTGCATATGCCTCTCAGAAGTAATCTTTATGGAGGGTTTCATGCGAAAAATTTACAATTTTATCAACGGCTTGGAAATCCTCCATCTCATTGGTACATACGAGAAAGTGGAGGAAGAAGAGGAAGAGGTATACGAAGTTGTCAATGTACATAAACTAAAGTCAGCTACTCCCAACTTGAGGGTAATCAATTTATATGGCATCAACTTCGTTGACGACAGTCATATTGACGCTTTTAGTTCCAATTGCATCCAGGTATGTTGAAAGATAGAAGTTTTTGGGTCATCGGTGTGCTTTAATCTAAACAAAAGAAAATGCAACTCTGCTAAGCCTTCTCATCCGCGATGTAATTCACCGCGGTAGTGAAAAGTGTTATACTTCGTCATGTTGTGTAGCGTCGCGTGATATGAAAATGTATTTGAATGTCAGGTCGAAAAGAAGTTACTCTCATAAAAAAAATAATGCGTTTATTTTTATCGTCGAAGTCTAGCCATAGGCAATTCATACTTAACCGAAAATGTTTGACAAATCCAGCTTGTCTCTATGTGTAAAAGCAACTACATCATTAATTTTTTACAGCTAGAATGCCTGGCAGTGAACTATTGTTCTAAAGTTGTAGGATCCACAATGAAAACATTATTACAGAGAAGCAGAAGACTTAAATGTTTGTTGATGAATGGCACAAGTAAGTTAAGTTAGGGCTACTTTTTATTGATTGTTTTTTGAGCTCAAAACAAATATTCATTCATAGGAGACACATTATTCGGTCTTCATATGTATTAGTTTTTCCTGGCAGCTTGACAACGGACTATATTCAGAAAGTTTTATTTCAATGGTACATTTACCGTTTGTAATTTCAGAGGTAAAATTTCGCGCCGAGACTTCAAGCTCTAGAGTAACGCGATAAAATTTTCCACGTTCCATCCTTGGAATGTCACCATACTTAAGCAATGCTATGCCAATAACTTTTATTCTCTAACATTGACAGTCTGAAGTGACTTGTATGGTCACTTTCAATCGGCTGGAGATATAGGATTTAAATGAGTTTTCTTTCGATGAAGGTATTTGAAATACTTACGTCTTATTTCAACACGAGCGAAAACGGAAACAAACCGCATTGTGAATGTATTTATGAGGATAATATATCATTTTTACTTTTTGTTTCCTTCCACTGTAACATCTTTGATCACACAACAGGCCTTCTAGGATAACCACCAATTCATAGTCAATTTACATAGCTCCTGATGGAATTTTGACGTTACCACCAGTAGTTATACTGGTTGCTTATGCTTTAGGCTTTTTCTCAGCAATGAAATAATAGACAGCAATAAAACTCAGCTGGTGGAAACAACTTGCAATGTGGAACTTTTTATCATGACTCCTGAATAATAAATAACCATACATGTACAGAATATTGTAACGAGTCTTACACAGTTGGGACGTCGTAGGGAGATCGAATCTGTTCATCAAGTCAGTTTTGCCATTTATATTATGATGACTGGCTGTGCAATACTGGTGATGAACATACTGTATGACATTGAAAGGTTCACTTAATATTCACTAGCACTTCAATATATCTATAATATGAAATGAACAACTTCAGAATAAAAATATGTCTGGCCGCAAAGGGTTAACTGATCTTTCAGTTTTTCTTTTGATCGACATAGTGAAATAACCTTACATCATTATTTGTTTCAGGCTTACAGAGTGAATATTTGTTGCAAGTAGAATGGGAAAAGTGTTCCCTCCAAGAACTGGATGTGACAGCCACGGACTTGTCTACAGAATGCTTGGTGGACATGCTGTCAAGGCTTCCAGGATTGAGGTTTTTAAGTGCAGGTCAAATTAATGGTTTTAACGATTCGGTGCTGAAGGCATGGATGGAATCTGGCAACCCAAGGAATTTGGTGAGTACCTGGAATAACAAAGTGACCTTATTTGATATAGTTGTAGATTGACAGAGGAAATGTTAAGTTCAACAGATTTCAACGATTTACTGGATCTTTAAACATCACATGGATTGATAGCATTTCATAACAGGATCTGATTAATCAAAGATATCTACAAATTGGCAATCTTCATGGTTCAAGATATCGTCAAACCGACATTTTTTATGGAATCAGTGCATAGAATAAAATTTTGTATATTTCAGGTGGCTCTAGATCTTGATAGTTCCGACAACCTGTCAGAGGAAGCGATCTACAAGTTTCTGTGTAAACATGGACATCAACTTTGGGGTTTGGGTCTATCTGGGATGACCCACATTACGGATTCCCTGTGGCAGACGGTGTTGCCAATTTTGAATAATGCCAAGTAGGTACTCCATCAATAAAAGTTGTGCTACAGATCTATGTTCTATCATTTGTTTCAAGTGGTATAGAATTTTTAGTGGATGAAAAGCAATTTTTCACTCCATCCACTAAAAATCCTCCCTTTCCACGAGTCATGTGACATTCAATTACTTTGATTTGTAATTTCTGAAAAACTGCAAATAACTCAAAGGTTCAGTAATTTAATCCCTCAAAATTTTATATCGAGTATATCATCAAATCAAATCAACAAAATCAAGAAAACATGCAATTGAAGAGAACTATGGGTATGAAGTTACTTTCAACGAAAGACTTGCTACTCTATCTGCAAAAGTGACCCCCGAGAGAAATATGCACCCCCGCTTTGAAGAGGGGCAGGTACACTTTCACAAAAAGTTATCTTTTGTTGATGATCAGGGATCCTGATAAAATTTTGACATACGCCCATGGTAGACATTAAGAACCTATAGTATGCTACATCAAAATTCTTGTTTTGAAAAGAGCTTTCAGAATATACTAAAATATAGAGGGTATTCCATTTAAAAACTGCATGTTTGTGTCGCCACATAGTTAATTAAGAATCATCCACTAGAGAGCGGCATATTTTCCAAGCTGCCTATAATTTCTGCAATTAACTCTAATAAACTCTTTTATAATGAGCGTTATCGATTGATTATACTTACACCACATGCTCAATCTATAGATTCTTGCTTCAAAAAAGACCTGAATTATGCATTTTTTATTTGTCGCAGAATTCTGATCCTGGGAACACAAGAACGTTTGGGAGTCAACATTCTAGTTGATCAGTTGATGGACAGTATCGCCAAAAACTGTCCAAATGTGGAACGCCTTGAGCTGCGATGGGATCCTGACAATTTAAGGTTCTCGGATAAGAGTCAGAAAGCCATTGATACTATCAGAGTAAAGTGTCTTAAATTGAAATGTCTGTGTTTAAGGTAAGAACAAGCATATGGTATCAGTTTATTTTCTAAAATAATGGTTACAATTAAATGTCGATATTTGAGGGAACGATTTTTCGATACATTTTACGAAGAAAACTTCATATGAACGTATGTGCTAAACATCAAAACTTTTGAGATATAGTGTGGTAAAGTTTTCAAAAATTATTCACTTATTATCTGTAAATACCACTATATATATATATATATATATATATATATCCTTTAATTTCTTTGGGTAGAAGGCGAAGTATTGCAAAAGTACACTCTTATAACTTAAACTCTCAAGCATTCGAAGATCTATGTCTTCATCGTCTGGAGCTGGAAACAATTATTGACAATAGCAACAAATAACAATTAGGCGAATAATATGTATATATATATATATATATATATATAAATATATTTTAATGAAAATTGGCATTTTTGATGAAGTACATTTTTTTAGTTTTTACCAGTGGCATTTTTACGGTATTTCATCTCCCTATTTTGGCACACATTGAGGGTACGTCACTGATTACTCTTAAAAGTTATTCTTGGAATCCGCTATCAGTTCTAAGCAAACTTGATCGTCTGTTTTTTTCAAGCCGATGTACCTCTTGTTTCCGTATACAAAATAAAAACCGTTTTTCTGTATAGGCATAACAATATTCTTAATATGAAAGTTTCACTATGCATTTATTTAGGTGGAAACCGTGCGTCGCACTGGAAAAAATTCAGGATATCAAATCTGCTCATAAATGAATAGTGATTTCTCTATTTTTTATTTTAAGAAAACCCTGTGTCTTCAAAGTTAAGACGTTTTCTTCTTAAGGTGGGTCCAAAAATCGCACCCTCAAATACTGACATTCGATTAAGAAACACCCTGCATATTATGCAAGATATATTCATAAAATTGTTAATAAAATGAAAATAAATCCAAACATCTTTTAAATGATTTGTTTTACTTTTTTAGTGATGGAAGATACTATGAAGTAACCAAAGCCAATTTCGAGCGTGCAGATCGGATGACGGTTGTTAGAACTCTGACAAATTGTAGAGTTAGCAACTACTACCTATTGTCAAATTACAAAGACCTTATATTTAATTGAAATAAAACAGTACTTCAACATAGGATACGTTTTATTGTATTCTATACCAACAACATCTATACAGATAAGTGCTATATAGAATACACATTAAATTTATTGAATGAAAAACAATACACTTAACATTTATAATGTATTAATAGCATATGTAACTGTACATGGTTTATTTACAAAAATTAGGACTGTATAAATAGAAGTTTTAACAAAAATATACACTAGAGTGGTCTTAGTTAAAAGTATTGACTTCCAAAAATGTGGCGTGTATAAAGAAATTATTTCTTAAGTGCTAAAGTAAAAAGGTATTATAAAACGATGCTATTGCTAGGCAGCTCTAAAAGAAAGAGACAATAATTTTTTCAAAAATATTTTTCTGCAATACTTCTATATATTGTATGTTACTGTTTAATGGATGCATTAGGTTTCCTCAGAATTCACTATGGTACACAAAGGAAAAAGTAAACCTGCGTTCCTAAGGTTTGCTGTATGCACATACAGAATTCTGAGATTTCCTAAAAATAAAGCATATCCTATTTCGTTCAGTGTTAACATAATCACTAGCCAGTACGTATTAAGAGATTAAAAAAAGCGGTTTGGCCATATTGTATACTAAAATAGGTATACTAGATAAAGCTCAACTCAACTGAGAACAGATTTGAATTACTATTTAAGTATTAACATAATCTTCAACATGCACAGGTCTTCTTCATAAAATATATCTTCGAATTATACATAATTTGATTTTTTGCAAGCTAAAGTGTGCTAGAATTACCAAAATCTTATGTGTACCCTTAAAGATAAGTAACTACATTACTTTTAAATTTAATGGATGTCTTTGAAGAAGAAAACATCTTAAAGTGATTACTACTGATGTTATTGATTTTACATGTAAGTTACAAAAGTATTATTGAAGACATTTTTGAATTAACGATTAACAGAAATGATAAACTAGATAAATACTTACTTGCAATTTGACTTCCAATTGTATTGGCTATAACCTTCCATATCTTTTATAATAAATTACGTAGTAACTACATGAAACCAAAAACTACCTCGTTTTTATACCCTGCATAACGCTTGTATACTGGACCTTCCAAAAAAGCATTTGCAATTCAAAATAACATTTTGTGTAATCTCAAATGCAAAACTGGGGAGTTATACAAATATAGTGTAGTAGTACTGCATACATTTTCTACCACCGTGAAATGAATAGAAGTCTACTCGTATTTCAAAAAGCATGCAAAATTGATTGATCCGCAAGCCAAGAGATAAAATAATCACTAAAAATCTAGCATATTTTTGTCCTACAATTTTTTCAAATTACTCATTTTTCGTCATTATCGAAATCCAGTATACCTCTACGCATGTTAAATATTTCGAAAGCAACCATACATGTATCACAGCAGTAAAAATATAGTATATATTTTTGCAAATGTATTTTTATATATAATTTATTGGTGATTTATTATACAGTGTCCTCAAAGTTGGCACTTTCCTTAACAGAGCGTATTCATACACAAAAGACCTAGGATAACCAAGATACTAGGTTCAGACAAAAAAACTGCTTGCTTTCCGGAATTATTAGAACTTTTTAGCAAAGTTATTTTGTTCCTTGGACATGATTTTCGTTATTCTGAGTCTTACTAGTAGCAAGACGGTCCTTCGTTCTCCGTTATGGAAATAAGAAGCTCTGTTATTTAAGGATAACATTTTTTTCTTATTCAGCGATGTTGCCGGAACTGGTGAACCTCAAAAAGCTTTAGTAAAATATTTTCAAATTATAAAAACATTAATCAAAATATAATAGAATTATAAGTAACTACAGACCAACATGAATCCAAGAAGTGATCCAAATTGAGAAATTTTTTTATTATACACAGTGTCAGATTTTAATCTCCCCACCTGAATATTTTGGAAACTGCACATTCTAGAAAAAAACAAACAACAGCTGTAGAGTTTCGAGAGAGCAAAATGATGGCCAAATCATCTGATACAAATTTTCAGATTGATAGGTTGCCTATAGGGGCCCCTATCATCAGAAACGTGTTTTTTCGGAAATATTTTTTCACGGGTGTAATTTTGCTCAAAAAATTTTGAAAAGATTACTGATACTGGATTGTTACATTTTTGTTAGGTTTGTGGGTGATTTTTTTTTAAATGTTTTTCGAATTTTTAGTTAGGTAACGAAAATTTCGCGAACTGAAAAATCCACTGAATATCAGTGCTCTTTAGCGTTCTTTTCCACTAACAGAATATTGAATTTTTGACCACAAAATCGCCAGAAATCGAAAAACCTCCCACTTTCAGGAAATTATAACTTCGCTAACACAACAATTCAATCCACGCATATGTGTACTTTTTTTATTTAGCCTGGCATTCTTTGCTGACCAAGTATGTCAGAAATTGAAGCGTAATCAGGGAAAACACGGTTTTTCCTTTTTCACTATTTTCCGGACCACGATTCACAATTGAAAATTGAAAAAAAAACGTAGGTAATGCACCCATATAGTGGGTTATTGTGTTATCCAGCTATTTCCTGAGCAAAAGCGTCAAAAACCAAAGAAAAACAGCGTAAATGCGGTTTTTCCTATTTTTCCAATTTTTCAGGAAACAAATGAAAGTTTTGATTCTGGAACCAGGAAGAATAGAAAAAAATCTATATGTTGAGTTTTTGAGTTAGCAAAGCTATTATATTTAATTCTGAAAAAGTCTAACATTGGAAAGTGCGGTTTCCGATTTTTTGATATTTTAATCATGTTGTTAGTGGATCCGAAAATAACCCAAGAAAGCACTGATACACAGTGGATTTTTTGTTTGCAAAATCCTCATTATCTATCAAAAAAATTGAAAATAAAATTAAAAAAAATATTTTCTCGACCCTGTAAGTTCTAAAAATCTATAAAAAATAAAGTTATATAGGATATACCAATGTAGCAACAGTAGTTTTTTTTTTCATCTTTTTTAGCGCAAAGTTGCAACCGTAAAAAACTATTTTCGAAAAAAAACACGTTTGTGATGTTAGGGGTTCTCAGAGCCGACATCCATCGAAATCAGGCTAAGGCCCTTTGACTCAGCATGCTTTAATTTCGATTGATTCAGATTCTAATACCTTAGGGGGTAATTTTTATATTTACTTTCGCAATAGACATTGTACAATTTTGCAATATTCAACCAATTCAGCTATTCGAAATATGAGCTGATATGATCATATTTTCTTAAGTTGTTAATGAATCTACAACGTAAATTTTGATTTTTTTTTTGACGTTTGATTTTATAAGATATGATGTAAGTTTATGGTAAATGTTTTCGAATCGGAGATTTCTCATCAAATTGAGTATTTTGTTCAAATTTTTGTTTTATTTTATCGCTACTGATTGAAAGCACACTAGCTTTGCTAATACAAGAGTCGTTATTTCGGAAAAGAAAAATCCCAACTTTTGGAACACTGGCTTATAGCTTGACTCCACAAATAGAGAAAATTGGAATCGTGAGATTCTTCAAACACCCTGGCTCATTCATACAAGCAGAAAAATATATACTTCACATAATATACAAGAAAAAAATTAAATACGTAAATCTTAAACCCATATCAATGAAAAATTAATAAGTGAACTCAATCAAATCTTGCTTAAAGATTTTTCATCCATCAGAACATGACACACTGGTAGAAATTTGGCACCAGCGGGATTTGAACCCACACACATCTCTGGCACTGCTTTGCCAATTACACTGAATACCGCCGCGTCGCTGGCGAATAGCTGGCCATACACACATATTCTTTCCCGCGGAAAATCTTGTTATTGCCCATACACGACTATATTTCCAGACGATTTACCTTACCAGAGAGAGAGAGAGATAATATGCCAACTACGCGTATTGTTTTGATGAGGAAGATACTCCTGATCATCCAATACAGTAGATGAGATGAACGGCAGAACCAACTAAAACAGTCGCTCGGCGAGAGGCTCACTGCTGACAATTTTGCCAAGCATGTAGGAGACGGTAAATAAGTTTTCCAGCCAAGCGAATGATGCTGAGTGAGGTATGTAATTAGAAAAGGAATCACCGAAGCTTATTATGTTTATCTGGTTGCTGGGTACATACAAACAAATGGATCTATGGTGATACTAACGGGTCGAGACAAATAACTTAGGTATGAATTTAATTGCGGAAAGGCCGACATAACAATACTGTCGAGCTTTTCTGTGTGATGGTCATTTTTAAGTTCTCGCTATCTAGAAAGTGTGAAATATGTGTATCATTTGACGTATCATTTGGAATGGTCTGTTTTTGAAACCCCATGCTTGTTGGAGAAAAACGACAGAAAAATATACCTATGCACATTTTTCTGTAGCTATGGGCGAGAATTGAAGATACAATGCTGGATTTGGAGAAAATATGATTAGCTAAAAAGTATGCGATTTGAAAGATCGAAACGCAATTATCAGGCCTTTGTAACATATTTGATACCAATAAAAGAACATACGTGTTTTTTCCTTTATAGTTTTGTTTTAATGGTCATCCAATACCACTGACGTCGTAATGTGTACCTCGTTGCCTAGCAAGCCGAGTACGAGGTCAAGCCTTCTGGACACTCTTTCTAACTAGTACCTATTGCACGCTAGCCAAATTTCAACCTCACCGTATATATCCGAATTTTTGTTTGTCTTTTACATATATTTTTTTAGTCTCCTTAGACCCCTAAGATTTAGTAGAGTATTTTTCCATCCATTTCGTTTTTACACCTACTGAAGTGAAGAGCTGATCAGCAAGTGACATCTTTGCGTTAAAATCTTGCTTGTGTACGAAGGAACATTTCTAAATAACGCGTTGTTGACCAGAACAAAATACGACGGTTGACATAATAGTTACTTGTACTTGTATACTTGAGACCCATTAACGTGGCGCGGTCTTTCTATGGTAAGTACCAGCCGCTCCAGGTGGAAAAAAGCCTAAAATCCCTTCCAGTTTTCTCATATGGTGTAGCACCTAGCAACGTCTACCCAATGATTTCACATGCCTTTCTTAGACGCCTCAGGATCTTCCGCGCGAAAGAACCAGTACGAATGGCCAGCTAATCTGCAACCAACTTCAGGGACGCGCAGTCTCTGTAGTTAGAAGGTTATCTAGTCGTAACTGCTGAACAACCGTAGTAGAAATTTTTGCGTTTGACAGCAACAGTTGTTGTTAAACTGAGTCGCAATTTTCACATGATAAGAGCGCGTAAGCTGCACTGTAGTGATTGGCAGCAAAAACGTATAATCTAGGTTTCTACTTACATCAACAATTTGATTAAGATGGACAAAAAGACACTACCAAAATAAAGTAAGTAAAATCTGTAATCATATAGGTAACAATAAGAAATAAAAAGATGGCTCTCTATTCAACTCTGGGTTGGATCTGGATACCCAATTTCTGATATGTCTTGTAATATACAGCATACAGATGGATATTCACTGTAGCGTTTACACTATACTATCTAAAGATGGAAAATAAGTCGAGCCCATTAAAAAGTATGTGCCTCCTAACGTTGGAGGTTATTATCATGATGAAACGTAATTTCTTCAAAACCAGTTACGAGGCGAGACGGCGGAAACTGAAAGGCCCTAGCCCAATCGCGATGTGGATAGCCTAATGCTAGTTTACAGTTTCAAGTGGCAAACAAAATAAACTAGACTGTAAAACTGAAATCTAGGTTTCATCAGTTGCAAGCAAGCAAAAAATAAAACCAACCAGTCAAATAGCATAAAGTGCTTGTTTTGCTATCAGTCAGCTGGTCACAGTACAAATATAATAACCTAATAACATCCCAAAAAGCAATCATTAGTAGGTGCAGTATTATACCCTATTCGTAGTCCATTTACGCACAACAAACATGCAGCGCGGCACAGGCTTATGTCCTAAGATAATTTTCAGTATTGTTGAAGATTATAAAAAAAATAAAAAATGTCTCCACCACACAAGAGGCTGCTTTACACGAGGCTGTTGGATACAGTTGATAACTTTGATCGGAATGCCATCAGCCGCAAAGTCCAACAATTTTTTAAACTGCAGGAACTTCCACCAATGGATAAAGTATTAGAGGAGGTTAATAGTGATGAAGACTTACTTACTTTCAAAAAGACTACTTTGTATACTTAGTTCACTCAAAGAGCTTCGAGTATAGAAGTCTTGACAGAGATAGTATTTTGATGGACCGCCAAGAGATTATTTTATGTAGAAGAAATTATTTAAAATCAATAAAGAAGTACCGCGACCAGGGCAGGAAGATTTATTACTTGGATGAAATGTGGATAAGTGCAGGACGTACAAAACCTAAAGTATGGGACGACAATTCCGTCATTGTACTTGATAATGCTGCATACCACACTATAACACTAGAAAAAATTCCCACAATGTCACTAGTTTCAATGAAAATATGGTCAAAGCAGAACTTATACATCTAGTCAGGCAGCACAAATATAAATATAATCTTAATATCATTGACGAAATGGCTAAAAACCAAAATAAGACCGTTTGAAGGCTACTGCCTTATCCCTAATCCCATTGAAATGATTTGGGCAAATATAAAAAACTATGCGGCTTCAAACAATAGGACTTTCAAATTTTCTGACGTGAAAAATTTGTTTTTTGAAGCTGTCAACAGTGACGGCAAACCATTGGAAGGATTGCATCCGTCACGTTCAAGAGACAATTGAAACAAATATGTGGGATCTGGACAATATGGTCGATATTCAAATCGAACTTGTAATAATTAATATTAACCACTCGGACGATGATTCAAGTAATTAAAGCGAATAAAGAATTGTGAAAAGTATGCGCACTTCTTTCTATAAATATAATCATTTATCTTGATAGATTATTCCAAGACTATTGAGGAAAATACGGACCTGTACAATCTCGCTTTTGGGCATGTTTTGTTTTGTCTGGGCGTAAATGGACTACGAATGGGGTATAGGTCATTTAATTCAAACATACTGATATATGTTATTGTAATTTCAAATGCAAACACAAAACGTAATGATATGGCTAACTTAAACGGACTGGGAAGCCTAGTATTTTCCTGTGACGGCGGCTGGTCATCGTCTCCACAGGTCGCGGGGGTTCGAATCTCGGCATCGGAATTAACATCGTTGGAGCTGGTTTACCCAACAATCGGTTACCTTAGGGCCAATTTTTGTAATCGATGATATGTAAACGAAAAGTAACACCGTTGTCATGGCGACATCAAAAAGTGCCAAAACTTGTAACACTTGTAAATAGACTGAGCGATCGTGGAAATATCGATGAAACTCCAACATGATATATTTTCTATTTAAAACAGATTGGGGCCGTGTCGTCAGTCGTAGGACGCTTTCATGGCCTTTTTGATTTTCATAGTCTTTTCTCTCCTTCAGAAAGGCTGGGGTATTTCTAGACTTCCACGGTTCCGTATTAGCGTCAGCGCTCTCATATTGTGAATTTATGTTTTCTTTTCTAATTGCAGAAAATTTCAGGCTGATATGAATAAAAAAAGCCTGAATAATTTGATGCAAATAGATATTTGTAATATAACCTCAAAATAGAGCGCTGACATGGTACGACTGATAATACGGCCCTTAGATAATCTATTTATGATTAAAGTACTAGATTACTACTAAGAAGACTCTGAAAAGACTAATAAATAAAAATACTTCCTTTCACTTACCAAACCACACTGGCGAGAAAGTACTGTAATTTCGAAAAAAATCTAAAATGAGATATTGCGTTTTTTTAATGTTATATGACATCTTGATTGGAGCATCTGTGACTGGAAGAGAGTATGTTCATTACGTTAGACCTCCTAGCGGACAAAGATTGAACCCCAAGTACTTTGCCCACTGTCAAACATGGAGGCGGGTCTGCTATGGTTTGGGGGTGCTGTTCGGGGTTTGAGATGGGACCTTTACATAGAATAGATGGCATTATGGATAAGTTTGTATACACAGACATACTAAAGCATGTCATGTTATCCTATATGGAAGACAATATGCCCTTAAGCTCAATCTTCCAGCAAGATAATGACCCGAAGCACACTTCAAATCCGGCAAAGAAATTCTTTCTGGATGAAAAAATACCAATTCTCAAATGGCCTTCACAGTCTCCCGATATAAACTCCATTGAAAATCTATGGGAATACTTAGATAAGCAAATACGAGATAAACATTATTCAAACAAGGATGAACTTTTTGCCGCTTTAGATCAAAAGTTACGCTACAAAATATTAACACAATCATATTTCTATAATTCAATGAATTCCTTTTTCTATATTTCTTTTGTTTTGTGTATATATTTTTGTCCTTCATAGTTCCAGTTTTTTCAATTAATTTTTTATTGAAGCGAGTCTAATGAATTTATTTATGTATAAGTGAGTATTATGCTATAACGAATTATGTATACAGGTTGGTATATTAATAAAACAAGTTAAAAAAGAAATACAGCACAATATTAATGTGTCTATATACTTTTGTCCATTACTGTACATCACGAAAAACCATGTTACTCACTTCCGTCGGTCTGTCCGCTAATCTTACAGCTTCCTAAGAATTTTTTTAGAGGGGTTAAAATTAGGGGGTTGCGGGTTGTAAGATGGTGGGGAGGTTCTACAACTTGGAAACGACCATTCGGATTTTGATGAAATTTTCACACGAGATAACCACTATGCCAAGGCCAAAAAATCCTTGTATATTTTGAAAATCGGTCCAGCGGCGACGACGTGAAGGGCAAAAACAAAAAAAAAATAACATCCAAACTTCGTTTTTGGATGTTCCAGATGCTCCTGATCATTATCAGAAAAAAATTTGGAGGGTTTCAAAAGCGGGGGTTGGGGGTCATCGTGGGGTTATAGGAGGTGAGGGAGAGTATATCTTATTTTTTGGAGCGGTATATCAATACGCGTCCAACCCCGGTAATTTTACATTGTACACATAAAAAGTCAATGTACTGAAGAAGGTCACCGTTGTGATACGCTTTCGATTGGCTATAGAAATAAAGTGTATGCTTTGATCGTACAGCAGTCGACAACCTGACTGTGACCGTGTACCAGATCCGGCCACTCGGATTCCGGTCATGCTATTTCGGTGTGTAAACGGAATTCACACGGCCGGATCCCAGACACAGTCACCGACAAGCCTCTGACCAGTGTACGAATAAACCACTACCAAATGGTAAAACAGGGTAGTCAAAAAGGATCCTATTTAGATGGCATGGTTGCCAGGCTTCCTCTCCCCACCACCTCTACTACTACTATACTACTACTACAACTACTGGCCAACTTATTGCTGGTAGCAATACACATTATCATTGTCAACAGATATTTTTACAAAACACTTACTTTTCACCTAGAACCAAACCTTTTTGATGCAAGCTGCCGATAGGCAACTCTAGTTAAACGGATTTATTTATTAGTTTGATATAAACTGCATTCGGAGAATTAAAGGACCTCGACTATTTTACAGATAATATAATTTCAAATGATTTTCCAAGTGTTCGCTACAATCAACTAATTTTTGTTGCGAGACTTTTCACACTCTGCGATTGGACTAGACATAGTTCATCATTGCGTCGATCCATTGAAATATTACTAATTGCGTAATAAAAGTTCGAAAATCGTGCATCAGAAAAAATAAAATAGCGTGTCATAGCATTTAAAGAATCAAACCGAAAATGACAAATCACGCTTTTATAAGTAAAAATATAGTTGTATAAAGTCCATAAAACTCACATTTTGGTCTGTTGCTGCTATGCATAAACACTCCCATACACAAAAATATATGAAATATATATCCTAAAAATCACCATCGTTTAGACCTATCACCTATCGTAGTTATTTGGGTCTGGCAAATTCAACGGTTGTTCGTTGTTCGACGCGTCGTTTCTTTTTTCGTCGGTGTTCATACAGTGCAGTATCTCGTGGCATAACGGACACCTGTCCTGTACGTACAGCCACTTCCGCAGACAAACGCCGTGGAAGAAATGCTTGCATCTGAAATATGGACATCATTTAGCTTTTGCGACAAGCCGAGACGGTTGTTAAAAGGATGACTGCAATCTATGTTGAATACGTCATTACAGAAACCACTTAAATAATTTTTTTACCAACATGCTTTTTTTACTGAAAACGCTTCATTCTTTGGGACACAAAAACGAAGTGTAAGGTATATGTTTGGCTTAAAATACAAGATAAGGATCCTATGCATTTCTTGTGGGAGATACAGCTTAAATTGAATTTAAAACATGGATGCATAAATTGGGTAGATCAATTTTTGTGGGAAAACTTTTTATTCGACAACAAAAAATGAGTAATCGTGTTTTTTGGGATTCAATCGAAAGTGTTGGTAGGAACGAAAAAACTCTTCATATAAGACTTTTAGGTATTTATGAGACCTAAAAAATGAGACCACACGTAAAAAGATCCGACGAATAACAAAAAAGTCATGACCGAAAACCGATGCAAACTGCAGGTCTTGGCACTTGTTGGTAATGCGACGATGGTTCCTCGCAGATACTTGAAATTCTTCAAATTCGTAGGATTCATACTTCTAAATAACCACAACAAAATTGGAGTAGATTGGTCGAGTAGTTTTTTGGGAATATCTAATTGTTTATCCCATAACACCTGTATTCCGGCCATCACTACTAGTTTATTGAGCAATATACAGGGTTAGTTCAAAGTTAATTTTATAGCAAAATACACTGGTTTACCTTGCCGATATAAATCGCAAACTATTTCGGAAGATAAATGTTATTTTTATGCACGTTTTTTCTTCTAAACAAATTCAAACATTTCGTATTTGTGAGTAATTCAACAAATGCACTATGATATTCGAAAAACATACGTTACTCTACACATTTTAAAATAAAGCGTCTATCTTTTTTTGTTGCGAATTAATCACAAGGCCAAAATGTTTGAATTTGTTTGTTTTTGGCATAAAAATAATATTTATCTTTTATATGATATATATATATATATACAGGGTGACTTCGAAGTTGAGTCATTTATTTTAACAGTGAGTAGATCTGATCAAAAGAAATGTTTTTTTCCTTTACCATTTTTCTGGTAAAATTAAAGTAACAAAGTTATAGCCCTTTGGAAGTTTGAGTACCGCCCTGTCTCAATAATATCATGTACTCGTGTTTGGCAACAACGGATATAATCCACCTTATCGGTTCATCGCATCGGAAACAAAAAAGCGAAAGAATTTGGAACGATGTTTATTTTATTCAGTTCAGTTATACATACAGTCAGTGTCAGTCGCGTCTGAATAGTGTCTGTTGCGTGGCTTAAACGAAATAAAAAATGGCACATATTTATGCGGATCGGTTTCCCAATCGAGTGCAACCAACCCCTCGTGCCTTTGTTAATGTAGTACAACGGGCTCGTGAATCAGGTGACTTCAGACCTCACAGGGGACCTCACGATCAAATACAGGTCCGCACTGAAATACTTGTCGGGAGGATAGTTTATAAAACAAGGTAAAATTTTTTTTTATTTTTACACACATATTTGGGTTTATCTTCCTTCTACAATCATTATCTGAAAATTAATGACTCAACTTCAAAGTCACCCTGTATATATATATATATTAGATTATAAGGAAAAATGCGTGTTTTCTGATTTTTCCATTTTTTTAAGTAGGCGTTGCAAACAAATTCTTGATTTGACGTAAACACCTGTCACCGAGTATTGTCATTATTGTGTATTGTTAACATTGCTTTATTATTGACAACTATGCCAGGCGGTCATTTTAGCAATGTCTAAAAGTTACCTTCACTATAACCTTGACCATGCACTTCAAGGTCAAGTCCAAATTTCCAAAGGAAGCCTACCTTTTTTATACTCGAAATTTAAAAAGCAAGAAATAGCATTTAGGCTTGACACGTCTTTGAGGTCAAGGTCACATTCGGACGTCAAATTACCTGCTTTTTCCATTTCCAGTGTATTTTCCTACACCGCACGAACTCCTAACACATGTAGCCACCCAAAAAAGTAGGATAACAAACTTACGATAAATTCATGCTTACCTAGTGATCTTCGCCGTCTGCATCTCCTGATAACAGATGGCGCACACATCGTCCAGTATCCTCAGCTGCTCCTTCTCTGCTTCCGGTAGACTCTCGATCTTGTTCACGGCCAGCCTGCGTTTCATGAACACCGACCAGCCCGCTTTCGCATCGCACCAGATGTTGAAGTACGCGTGGATGCACATCATCGCGGCACGGATGGTACTGCCGCTCTCGAACATCAGGATCCACGCGCCGTTAAAGAACAGGAAAATGCCGAAGCAGAATTCCACGGTGTTTCCTGGAAGATGGAAAATAAGATTATCGTAATACGTTACATCCTAAAATACCCAAGTTGAGTGACTTTCAAAAATTTGGCTAACTTTTATATTTGCAGACTATGCAAGAGCAACCATTACTGTCATGCAATCGTGCGGTGTTTTCCTGTTCCAAGACTGAATCTAAAATAAAGCTGCTCACGTATTCCTATTTAAGACTCATTTGGTAATTTTACTTCCCAAACGTACATGCAATACTGTAATTTCATGTTTTTGAAGGAACATTTTAATTTCCCCATCCAGAAAATATGTCAGCAGTCTCTTTCAATGGATACTTCGTAATGAATTATAGACGGAAGACTTTTGTAAATATCAGTCGACAGTTTCTTTCATGCTCCTTGGTGCGTGTTTGGAAGCTACGTTTAGTGGTGCCTACGTATACTTTACCACACAGAAACAGTATTCTGTATACGCCGGCACCGCTCAGGGGTTCCCTATGGTCCTTTACTGATGTTACCAGTCGCTGGATTCTTCAATTAATAGTGGTTGATATACGAGGAGGTACCCAAAAATAACTGGCATAGCATTGCAGTGGGCGGAGCTTGTGTAGTACACATTTCTGATCCTAGAGGAGTACAGCGCAACTCATTACCAGTTCAGTGCCACCTGAGTTGTCGATCTGGCTTGTTCATCACACTAACTTTTTAGGGGAAGGTGAAACATAGCCAAGCCAATCTTCTTGCCTTTTGGAATGTTGTCTCTTTTATACTCGTTAATAATATATGTTATTATTATTCAGACTCATCTCAATAAAGTGAAGAAATTGCACCTGACGAAAAAATGCAGAATCAAGAACCCTGCGTAAATGTAGCAGATAACCTAATGCAGTTCATTCCTGTCGTGGTAAAATGTCATCATTTTGTTAATCACTCACTGAAACTCATTTGGTAAGGAATCCTTTATCCTTAAGAAAGGGTCCTCATGTATATCCTACAATTGAATCTGATAAAAAACATTTTTTTAATTATACATACAACAAGTGATTTTTTAAAGATTCTAGAATAATGGTTATGTATTATGTAGCATTTCATGGTTATGAAGAAACTTTTTTATCAGTTGTTAATTTTTGACATTAGATAGGGTCAATTATTGATAATTTCCAGCAAAGTTCCTTTACATCTTATACTTCCATTTGTACTTATCGTTATCTAAAGGGTTTTCAATAAGGACGGGTCGATGTTGCAATGAGGTAAACCAGAGTTCTATTATTCGAATAGGGATATACATGTTACTTTGTATGGAATATAACCAGTGAAATGTCCACCGTGACTTCGTATAGTGCACGAATGTCCAAGTTTTAGTAGTTTTATCGAATAAATTTGGCTGAATTTGAGCGTTAACTTGGGCTATGCTGATTTTAGCATCAATGGATTGCAACTTATTGGCACAGAACTGAGTTTTGGGTGACATTAAATTTTCTCTTGTGAAATATCCCGAGATTGCAGGTATTTGTTATTAAGCTATAATAATAAGCTGTAATCCGCTGATTTCTCTAAAGGGGACGCAACAATCATGTATAGTTTAATGCCGAGTGCCGAGTTCTATCAAAGAGCCGTTCATTTCGGCTGGTTGGAGGCAAGTACATATCTCAAACAGTTGTCAGAAGCTATGTTTACTTGCTAAAGAATTGTAAATACTCTTATGCTTCAAAGCAATAGTTACATACCAAATGCCCTGATGTAGTAGATATAATCATCTAGCTTCTCCCAGAATGATTCCCGCCTCGCGTCCAGAAGAAACAGCGAATAAATCGATAGAGACACGAAGACTTTAACTATCACTTCGATACTGAAGGCCGTAACGGCAAGCAGCCACGTGGAGGTATCTTGAGTCTTCCACAGGAAATACATCAAGATCAATGGAAGGACGACTAGGACTCCGCAGACTAGTAAAGCATGTAGATGCCTGTAAAACGATGTTATTTGTACCAAGTCTTTACAAAGTTATAATATTTTTTTATTGATGATTCTGGTATAAACAAAGTGGCAATTGAACCACCCATTGTAAGGTTTATATTTTAGAACTATGCTTGCGGAGGTATGAGCTGATTTTTACAGACTTGAAATCATTCCATATCATCCCAAACCATTGTTGTACGATATCCTTTGCATTAAATTTAACAACATTTTATACACATTTCGTGTTCTACCACTTTTTCCATCTTGCATTGCATTGTTGCCTTATACTTTGAAGTTGAGTCATTAATTTTCAGATAATGATTGTAGAAGGAAGATAAACCAAAATATGTGTGTAAAATTAAAAAAAAATGTTACCTTGTTTTATAAAGTATCCTCCCGACAAGTATTTCAGTGCGGACCTGTATTTGATCGTGCGGTCTTGGAGCACCGGCATGCGCTCCCCTGTGAGGTCATAAGTCACCTGATTCACGAGCCCTTTGTACTACATTAACAAAGGCACGAGGGGTTGGTTGCACTCGATTGGGAAACCGATCCGCATAAATCCGTGATGCCGCGTAAATAAGAATCATGTCCACAAGTTCAGCATTTTCGTAAACATGTGCCATTTTTGATTTCGTTTGAGCCACGCAACAGACACCACTATTCACTCACGCGTTACCGACTGACACTGACTGTATACAACTGAATAAAATAATTGTAAAAACATTGTTCCAAATTCTTTCGCTTTTTTGTTTCCGATGCGATGAACCGATAAGGCGGATTATATCCGTTGTCGCCAAACACGAGCACATAATATTATTATTGAGACAGGGCGGTACTCAAACTTCCAAAGGGCTATAACTTTGTTACTTTAATTTTCCCAAAAAAATGGTAAAGGAAAAAAACATTTCTTTTGATCAGATCTACTCACTGTTAAAATAAATGACTCAACTTCGAAGTCATAATAGAGCATTTCTAATAAACATAAATCTAACACTTGAAGAAATATTATAAAAATACGTAGTCGTGCCATAAGTTCTGTCCCATGATAATCTCATGATAAAAATGAAACAAGATAAGATATATTTATATGAAAGATATTATTTATTCGACAACATTTTTAGAATTCATAATCAAACAGTTTTATTCAAAATGTCCCCCCTTGGCCTTCACACACTGCTTCAATCTCGCGGGCCACTCATCTATCACTGCACGCACAGCTTCCAAAGGAATAGCTGCCGCTGATCGGATCAAATCCGCTTTCAGGGACTCGATATTACGGTGGGCTTTGGAGCAGGCCAACTGCTCTAGCAGGTCCCACAACTTGTAGTCTAAAGGATTGAGGTCCGGACTCCCTGAGGGCCAATCTTCCGCAGCAATGAACTCTGGCACATTGCTTTCCAGCCAGCGCTGCGTACTCTTAGCCTTGTGAGCGGGGGCGGAATCCTGCTGGTAGACCCAGTGTTGGTTGGCAAACAATGTACCACTTAAAGGCTTGACGATAGGATCCAGTATGTCGCTCTGATAATTTGCCGCTTTTGTTTTCACGCCCTGTTTACAGAAATGGAGCTGAGTGACCCCTTCGTAGTACACCCCCCACCAAACCATGACTGACGCAGGGTGGTGGCCTCTCTCAACTCTCGGAATGATCTCCGAAGCTTCCTGTGAACTCCTTGCATACACTTTGTCATTTTGTCGGTTGAATTTTTCTTCTATGGTGAAGATTTTCTCATCCGTGAACAAAATCTTTCGGAATCCCCCAGCTGCGTACCTCTCCAAGAGCTTCTTGGATCTTGTCGCCCTGATGTGTCGCAAGGTGGCCGTAAGTCGCTGGCCCGTACGTCTCCGGTAAGCCCCTAGCCCTAGGTCTTGTTTAATGATGCGCGACATCGTCCGGACAGGAATCTTCATTTCCCTGGATAGGATCTTCTGCTTCCGGAGTGGATTCCTTTGAATCCTGGCTTTTACGGCTTTGATGGCTGCTGGAGTCCTTACTTGACGAGGTCTTCCGCTTCTTGGCCTGTCATCAACAGAGGTCGTCCCATTGTACCGCTGAATGGTCCTAGACACAAATTTACGCGATATTTGAAGGCCGCGTAAGAGTTCAAAAATCTGACTAGCACTGTGATTACACTTATGTAAAGCTATCACTGCAATACGGTTCTCTGCCTTGCCCCACTCCATCGTTATGCTTCGAGAGATCAATACAAACTGAGGTATATGTAATTACCCGAAAAGCGCTTAATCAACTGACACCACAATGTAAACAATCGGACAAGTATTAACAGGTCTACACTTGTTTGAAAACGAGGGACAGAACTTATCTCATGACTACGTATATATCCAACTTTATTTTATATTTTTTATTTATAATATACACATCTTTGGACTCAAGCTTTTATTACAGGTGTAAAATTTATATTTTGTTTGAGATAGGTTTCTGAATATATAATAAAAATTCAGTGGCAGTTCAAATTTTCAGATAGTCAATGATTGTTGGTTTTTTATTATAGTGTAGCATAAAAAAGAATGCCCCCATTCTACATTTATTAAGCTGTCATTCGCTTTAAAATATATTCCACCCTTTGGAAGAAATACGTAATATTACAACTAAGTCACCAAACTTAACTTGAGAAATCAGCCAACATTACTGTTGTCACCTGTGACTTGATATCAGTGAAAAAAAAAAGTTTAAGAATCAATCTGTCTCCGTACGAATTTTTAGACATAATCCTACTGAGAACAATCTTTTCCCGAGGGGAACGCCTGTGATCGCGAAAATGTATGGAATTTCTAATAAATTTTTGCTACATACCTTTTGAGTGACGGATTATGCGAGGCGCTCAGACTCATCAGAAGTGGGTTCACCACGTTATGCGTGAAATGAAGTAGAGCAGTGAACAGTAGGCAAAAATTCCTGCAGAGTCGCACGAATCGGACTTCAGGCTCTAAGCCGGTCAGGCCAGTTTGTAGTGCCAAAATGTAGAAAACTATAGCGGAAACGGTGCCAAAGTTCTTATCGTCTTCGTCGTCCGTCAACAAGATCCATTGGAAGAACTTGCCTATGTAGTTGCAAACATACGATACCACGCTGGTGATACCCAGTACGGCAGTTAGAGTGTCGCAACCGGTCACCATGAGGAACTTGATCAACCTGGAACAATTAACAACAAATATGGAAGAATTCGTTGGATTTCGGGATAATAGTGAATACTTGATTCATCTTGGAAATAGACAGGAAATTGGACCTAGTAGGGGTGATTATACGTAGTGGACACGGATTTTTCAAAGGCATTTGATAAAGATAATCACAGGATACTTCTCTCGATCAGAATATCTCGCCACCTATTAAACAGGGTAAAAAATATAAAACTGATTACTGGTTACAAACAAAAACTAAGTATGATATGGCAGCTAATAATTAGGCAGTGGCGGCTCGTGAGGTAGTGCCACGGTGCCATGGCACTACCTTGTCTTCTTCAAAAAGAAAATTTTTTTCAATCTTCAATGTTTTACTTTATTTTTTGCTTTTTCATTTTTTTTTGGTATAAATTATATGAAGTGACAACACTGACAACGTGACAACACCGCAAGCACCCGAACCACGCGACGAGATATAAAGCATGCCTTGACCTTGACGTCATCAACTTGTGCCAATGTCGGGCCGGCCCAAATAAAAAGAGAGAAATTTTACCAGCATCGCATACGAGCGACAGAGATAACGCTACAATACACATTTTTATATGAGGTGAATAGCGAAAGACAAGTATAATTTGTGCCAGGCACATCATCAGTCGTAATTCGTTATCAAATGATATCGGCGGTGTTTTTGTTCGGTCGGTCGTTTCGTTATGATTACGTCTAGTGCTGATTTCGGTCTTTTTTTACCTGAAAAGTGAGAAATAACGTTTTTGTTTTAGTACGTCTAGTGTTAATGAACTGCTCTGTTTTGTGATCATATTTTTTACTGTTTTATTAAAACTAGTGAAAATGAATAAAATCGGGATATTAAAAAACTCATTTAGTGGTTTTTCGCTGGATCAAAAACTGCAAATTAAAGAATTAGGACGGCCAATACCCGATTTAAAAATTGAGAAACAAAGTGGTAGCGGACAAAAATCGCGCTGTCGCAAATTTAATAAAAATGTGTACGATAAAAACAGCTGGATATGTGGTTGTGAAGAAACGAATAAACTATTTTGTTTTGTATGTGTTCTATTTGGAGGTGACGAGACTTGGTCAAAAAAAGGTACAGATGATCTTATACATATATGGGATAAAATGAAGACCCACGAAAAATCTAAAGTCCATATGAATAATGTTTTTAGCTTTTCTATTCTTGGTAAATTAAATATAAGGACTCAACTCAATTCGGCTTATCGCAATGATCTAATTAAACATAATAATCAAGTGGATAAGAATCGATATGTATTGAATAAAATTATTAATTGTATAAGGTTTTGTGGAGCATTTGAGTTAGCCTTAAGGGGTCACGATGAAAAGGAAAATTCGGAAAACAGAGGCATATTTAAGGAGCTGGTGAATTTTAGCGCCGAATTAGACAACGAATTGAAAGTCCATATTCAAAGTGCCAAACTTTTCAAGGGTACCTCAAAAACAACTCAAAACGAGCTTCTTGAGTGCATGCTAGATGTTTATCATGAAGAAGTTAAGAAGGAGATTGCAAATTCTCCTTTTGTTGCAGTAATTGCCGATGAAACGACTGACGTAGCCTGTGAATTTCAGTTAGTTATTATTTTCAGATATTTGTGTAAAGGACAACCAGTTGAGAGATTTTGGAGATTTTACGTCCCCGACGGACACGATGCCAAATCAATCGCTGCATGCGTTTTAAATGTTGTAAATCCATTAATAGATCAAAATCCAAACAAATTAATAGCTCAAAGCTATGATGGTGCGTCTGTTATGAGTGGTGAATTGAATGGCGTTCAAAAGATTATTAAGGAAACTTATCCACTTGCAAATTATGTTCATTGCTATGCACACCAGTTAAATCTAATTATGACAAGCGCATGCTCTGTCAATAAGCAGGCTAGAATATTTTTCCATAATTTATCTGGATTGTGCTCTTTTTTTTCGACGTCTCCTCAAAGAACAAAAATTTTGGATGAAATAGTTAATCGCAGATTGCCAAGATCTTCCCAAACACGTTGGAATTTTCAGTCACGAGGTGTTCATACAGTTTATGAAAATAGGAAAGACCTGATTGAAGTTATGGACAATATAGAAAGTACTTCACGCGATTCTTCGTCGATTAATCAAGCCAGTGGGTACAAATTAAAGCTGCAAGATACAAATTTTGTATTTTGGCTAAGTATATTCCATAAAATAATGCCACATGTTGAAATTGTCTTTAACCAATTACAAAAAGTATGCACCGATTCTGTTAAGGTCAAAAATGATTTAGAGAATTTTGAAGCAGCAATTCAAACTATACGAGAACAAATGGATAGCATTATTGACGAGATTGAACGAGTGCAGAGAGAAACTGATGAACCGGCAAGAAAAAAAAGGCAAGTTGAAGAAGGCAGCAAAAAACGGGAAGCGTTAGAAATATGCGATGCAGTATTATCGCAAATAAGAACAAGATTTAACTTTTCTGGGCATTTAGTTGCTTCTAATTTATTTGTGTCTGAAAAGTTTTCTGTTTATAAACATCAGTTTCCTGAAGCACATTTAAATGACACATGCACACAATTTTCATTTTTAGACAAAAACAGGCTTAAAACTGAGTTACAAGTATTATATCAGAGAGAAGAATTGAGTACTACTTCTGGAGCTGTTCCACTATCCATTTTATTGAACGAGGAAGGATTAAATTGTACGTTTCAAGAAACTCTTAAGCTCTTAAGTATTTTAATCACTATACCGATGTCAACATCTGAAGCAGAACGCTCTTTTTCAATGCTGAAACGGATTAAAACTTTCCTCAGAAACACAATGAAGGAAGAAAGGCTTAGTGCTTTAGGAATGCTGTCTGCAGAAAAACATTTTGTTAGTGGCATTGAAAATTTTAATAATAAGGTAATCGAAAACTTTGCTACCAAAAAAGAAAGAAGAATGGACTTCATGTATAGAAAACTTTGAAGTTATAGGTACTTCTCCACACTTGTTTTATAATTTGGTGCGCGTGTGTAAATAGTTTTATTTTTGATTTTTTTTTGGACATATAGATTTATTGAACCTCAAGAACTTTGACCACTAACTATCAGGGGTAAGTTATAAGTTATTCTTTACAATTTTGAATCGATTCAAAATTATGGCTTCCATTCTGGCACTACCTCACTGAATTGGCACGAGCCGCCACTGTAATTAGGTACTGGTTGATTCTTAATTCAATATTGGGTAATCCAGATTGACATCGTATTTGTGACGGGTCAATATTGAAATGTAACAAAACAAGCTGTGAATGAGTACTCATTAACAAAGTTCTTTTTTCTACCAAAGCTTAATATATGCCGTTTTGAACAGAATATGACATCAGCCAAATATCCGCAGACTTGTGTAAAGTGGTTACGAGGATATCATAGGATTGTCATAGATATGTGGCATGAAGCCACAGAAAGGCGTTTAATTTTGGCGACATGGGTCTGAACATATTCCATAGCAACTATAGCACCAGAATCAGCGGCCACAGTTATGACCCGGCTCACAATTCGAATTGGGTTGCAGTTCCAACAGATAGCTTGCAGTTTTCACTCTGCAGTGGTAATTTGTGGTAACTTATTTAAAGCTTTACTGATGTTATCAACGCCGCTATAGGTAGATGATAACCAATTTATCTTGGCTCCAACTGAATTCAAATAGACAACGGCATAATGGGCATTGCGTGAAGGTATTGAGCGCGGGATTATCGCTCGCAAAAGTGGATTGGCCAATAGGATTGTACGATTTGGTTCCGTCGTCTGGTGATGATTTCTGAACTCGTAAGTTTTTCCTAATAACAGTAGTTTAAACAGAGTTTGTTTTACTTCACCATCGACCCGCACGGGTATTATGTAAAAAACCGATACAACGTAAAAAAACTATAAAATGTCATCTTGCAGACTAGTTTTGAGGGCGCAAACAGTCATTCCACGTTTGCTCACTAGGATCGTTGTGAGCGTCCATCTATGGAAGAATAGCTCAACCACAAGCACTGTTGGTTGCATAAGTTTTGTCAAGCTGAGTAGTCTATAGTTTTCATCTCTGAGAAGGAGGTTGGTTGAGTAGCAAGATCGCACCTGGATGATTGTGTATTGGTCTGCATGTGTATAAAATCAGTGCATATGTAATTTCCAGAATGGATAAGAAAAAGTGGATGCACAACCAATTTCTAGCTTTGAATCTCAAGTAAATGTATTTTAGACAAGAATCCAATGGGATTATCATCAACAAATATTACTGGCACACAAAGTCACATCAGAGCTAAACATTAATAACTGAAGCCTCATGACGTTTAGGCAACCGTAGAATTATAAAACGAGTTCATCAGCTAGGGCTAAGTTAACATCTTGTAGAAAAACCTACATAACGTCAGACTTTATTAATTGCGTGTAAACTATCTACGTACCTGAAGTATGGAGAATTTCCGTCCTCGACAGACCAAGACCCAGACAGAAAAAATATAGCGATGCGCTCTAGCACCCTCAAGGTCCAAAATGTCCTTAGAACCTCGGGTACATTCAGTCGCAACCACTCAAACTCGATCAGCGCCGAAACCCCAAAATTCGTCACAAAATTCTTCGCTTGAATGTACCCAGAATATACCGATTGACTAATCTGGAATATCGACGAGAACAAGACAAACTTAACAAGCAGAAGTGGTAAAATCGCAGCCAACACAGGCATGTAGTTCAGTACCACAGCAGGGAGTGGTAGTGCTGCCAAAATTGACGGCACGATGAAGCAAAGAGGTAGAATCTTCTGTAAAAGCTTAGGCCTCGGGCCCAGATGGATGTTGAAGAAAATGATCGCCATGGTGGTTTGCAACAAGTGGTTCTGCAATAGGCGCACCAGCCAGTAGTTATCATGGAAGAGCCGTCTGAAGTTCAGGGTGAGGAGGTCCGGTATAGCCGTCAATGTGGCGTTCGTTGCAGATGCTTGTAGAGCAGTTTTCACAGCTGTTGCGTTGCTCCAATAGGAGGTCAGAACTAGGCCGACGGACATAAGGTACATGTACACCACCATCAGGTGCTTGGTGCTCAGGATGAACATTCCGATTGCTGCCGCGCATCCTGAAACAAAACAGACTCTTCAGTAAACCAATATAAGAATGGAATATACGCTACCCGGATAAAATCACACTTTAATAGCTGAAAGAGATTGCTAATGCTCATTTCCCATTTCCTCTTTTTCACCTCCTACGCCACTTAGCGGTGAAGTATTGTAAACGCAAAGAATTTAGAAAAGGAGGTATTATCTTTTTTGGATCTTATATGAGATGTACGAGACGAAAAACCATGTCACTCATTTCTGTCGGTCTATTTGTCTGTCCGCTAATCCTTGACCCCTCTACAGGCTGTTTCAGTATTCCTAGGGTACAGAGTACATCTAAAAAGTTCGTATAAATATGGATGTAGAAACTAGGGTACCTGAACCCCTAACAGGTAACAGTTTCTACGCCACTGGCCTTTTGGGAGAAAAGAAGAGGATTTTATAAAAAAAACTCAATTTTCCATTAAATTTATTTTTTGAGGAATGTTTGTCAGATCACTTATTTTGGTGATACTTAGGTTTGAATATTTGAGGTAAAATCTTAACATATGCTTATAAAAAAGTTTAGCATATTCTGAAAACACAGTGAAGCTTGATATTGAAAACACTATATGGCAAGTGAAGAAAGCTATGATCTCATTACAACATTAATTGAATAATATGAGTGTCTTATCCTCAATCGGTAGCATAGAAGCTTACCATTCATTAAACTTTTCCTGTGCACATCACTGGTTTTGCCGGCATATTCATTTTTGTTTTTGGATAAAGAAACTTCTTAACAAAGAAAACATTCATTTCACAAATAAATAAATAACGCTACTAGATAATCCATAAGTAGCTACCAGGCCATGAAACATTGCTGGTTTAAATGTGATTTTAGAACATACAAAATAAATTCAAAGTACTGCCTTTTACTTTTAGAAATCTAATTGTGGATTTTACGTTTTTACCTTAATATTACTTATTAAACAGAAATAATGAATTCAAAATGAACTGCAAACTTCATTACATCCAATTTCAACATGATTTATAGGGATATAATAAATAGAAATGAATCAACATTACTTTTATAGCTTTTAAATTTCATCAGATGTATTTGAAGCACCAATTTGTTACTCATGACTAATTTGACACAAATCCAATTTTAATTATATAACAATATTGTGTGTAAATAAAAAACTATATATAAAAATAAAATGAAAACAAAAGTGAGTTATAGAATCGGGAGTGCATACATCATTGGAATTCTTATCATTAAGATGATTCATATGCTGACCCAATAGCTCATCAATCTGTAGAATTAACACTTTCCAAGGATAATGAGTACTAACATTTTCATATTTTTGTAGCTCTCTTTTTACACCTAGAAAAAATGGATTCTGAATAGCTGTAATAGATTGTGTACATTCATTTTTGAGGGGTTTGGCATTTAGTCTCTTTCTGTTACTTTTGTGTTGGAAATAACAGATTTTAATTTCATACACTGAAACCGACCTCATTTAAAACTCTCCATATTCTAAAGAATCAGCCATTAGAACTTGATTTTTAGTCCAGATACCAATACACCTATGTAGAACTATTTACTACTTTATGTTATATAGGATTCAGATATTTTTACTGTTGTACCATAGCCATTTGGGACTGGGATGATCCACCATCAATTATTGGAAAGACAGCAAGTGACAGTTGTTTTGGTGTGAAGTTGTCCACAGCAATTCTAAACTCTATATCCATGAAGACAAATGCAGGATTGGCCTTATTCTATGTAGAACATAATCTCTACTTGATAATTTTATAATCTTAAGGTGAATTTATAGGTAACTTTATGCATCAATAATTATTGATGTCCAGGCTTCATGATCAATAAATATCACATAGATATTTGCAGTAAACTACAGGCTGTTCCCTCATATTTGCCTTGCTGATGAAAATATATTTAGAAGACAGACTTTCTTTATTTGCTAGAACGACACTTACATGTTTTAGAATTGTCAGATTGAATATTTTAAATACATTCCTGATAAAAACAAAACAAACACTGTAAAGTACAATAAAGTTGATTATCTAAAATTATATATCATTTTTCAGTCTACTATGCTTAACCCCTTTATGCCGAATGTATCACATGTGATACATACTAAAACCCATCGAAATTTATATACCGCCAAGCATATAGATGACTGCGCCATCTAGTGATATTACTTCTAAATAATCGTACGGCTGCGAGATAATTAGTACATGGCACAGAAATCTACTATTCTGTATAATTGACGTCTACTACATGCTATTCAAAAAGTGGCAGGTGCACTTCGTGATATACGCTGATAAAGTCTAGTTTTATCAATCCAATCCTTTGTCATAATTGTGAAGAAAAAATATATTTGTATCAAAGGATTGTTTGTTGAAGGTAAGTGCTATAAATCTTTTTATTTTCTTGTATGTACTTCAGTATTTTTGCACAAAAGTAATGCGTATCAAAATTGATGCAACCGGCGCGACTATTTTATTCTGAAAATTTTACAAAGAATTTTTGTATGGTTTCAAAATTTCAATAAAATGTACATATTTTCCTGAATTCCTTCACATTTACTATGCTAGAGCATATTTTTTGAAATGAAACTAATTGTATCAAAAATGATAATCCAGGCATTGCCTAACGTTTATTTCCGTATCACATATGATATATCCGGCAGTAATCGTTTTGTTTTATTCTTTAGATGGAAAGGCATGTTTCACTGCGTCGCAAAGGAACACAACTTGTTGTTGGAATAGCTCCACCAGAAGTTAGTGATGATGAGTATTTGCCTGAAAGCGACTCAGAGGAAGTACTGGAGACATGCATTCCGTTACTGGACAGTATGTACGATTCGGATGATGAAATTCCACTCAGTGAGTTGAAGAACCGTGCAAAAGGTGTAGCCCCGGATAATGATGACACATCGAGCGACGACAATGATCTACCTGTAGCAAGTTTCGCATCACCTGTACGTGAAGATAATACACCACCCTTGTGGAAGGATGTACCCAAGGGTTCAGAGAAAGAAATCCCCAATTTCACTAGCCCTAAACAATCAAGTGGCACTGTCTTAGCGCCCTTGGATTATTTCAAATATTTTTTTGACGATGATCTACTGGAACATATTGTATATCAATCGAACCTGTATTGCACTCAAAATCGACCTTATAAGGCATTACGTCTATCAGTAAGCGAATTGGAGCAGTTTATTGGTGTAACGATTTTTATGTCTGTATTCGATTTACACCGTACCAGAAGTTATTGGTCAAATAAAAGTAGAATTGCTCAAATAGCTGATATCATGAGTCGGGACAGATATGAGGAAATTCGGAGATTTATACATTTCAATAATAACGACAACATGCCCGATAGGAATGATAAGGAGAGAGATAAACTGTACAAGATTCGGCCTGTAATTGAAGCACTTGTGACTAAATGTAAAACTATACCTTTACAAGGTCAAATGTTCTGTGTGGACGAGCAAATTGTTCCTTTCAAGGGACATTCCACCTTGAAAACGTATAATCCAAAAAAGCCTCATAAATGGGGGTACAAGATTTTTGCCCTATGTGATATAAATGGCACAATATATAATTTCGATATATACCAAGGCACCATCAAACCAAAGCCAGATCATAGAGATATAGGTGCAAGCTCTAATATTGTTCTGCAATTAGCTAGCATTTTACCCAGTCATCAAAATTATTTGCTATACTTTGACAATTGGTTTTCTTCCCCACTCCTTCTTGTTGAGCTACAGAAAAGAGGAATTGGCTCAATAGGAACAATAAGACTCAATAGATTTCAAGGCTGCACTTTTAGTGATGATCGTTTGATGAAACGACGAGGTAGGGGATGTTACGAGGAGAAGCAAGCAGTTATAGACGGCATCGAAGTTAGGGCTATAAAGTGGTTCGATAACAAAGGTGTCACACTAGCCACTACTTTCTCAAGTGCTGAACCACCCACATCAGTTGAAAGATGGGACAAGGTGAATAAAAAGAAGATAATCATACAAAAACCTCTAGCAGTTGATGTCTACAATAAATTTATGGGCGGTGTGGACCTCTTAGATGGGCAAATAGCATATTACCGAATATTTATTCGATCTCGAAAGTTTTACATGAGGTTTTTCTACCATTTTATTGACATGATGGTTATAAACGCATGGAACATGTACAAAAATGACTGTAAAGAAGAAGGGTTGTCGAAAAAAGACACAGAAGATCAACTAGAATTTCGAACGAGTGTCGCTTACAGCTTATGTCGCTATGAGAAAGATCTGTCAAGAAAAAGGGGAAGACCGAGTAATGAGGGAGATTCAGTTGGGTACAGCCATGCGTTAAAGAAAAAACGAGGTCCAACAGCTCCGATACCAGCATTTAATGTGAGGAGAGATCAAACCGCACACTACCCATTGGTAACAGAAGAACGATTGCGCTGCAAATTTCCTCTATGCAACCAGCTGTCATCTGTCAAATGTGAGAAATGTAACGTGCATCTCTGCCTAAGAAAAAGCAAAAACTGCTTCAAGCAGTTTCACATTTGAAATATTTATATTGTGCACATCTTTATTAGTTTAGAGCCGGTAGTATCAAATAAGATACAAAGCATTTTTTCTCATAAGGAATAGCTTATTTTAATTTCTGAAATGTTTTTCTGGACAAATTGAAATAAAAATGCGTTTCAGCGTATGTTGGATTTTTTTTCAAAAAAATAAAAAAATCAGGCATAAAGGGGTTAAAATTCTCCTTTAATGTTTCAGTCACAACAGTGATCTTCTTCCTTAAATGACACTTTTTTGACAATATTTTATTTGTTGAATGAGAACCACAAATTAAGTTTCAGGGGTTATACAAACTACTTAATTAAAGGGGGCGATTTTTGTGTCCATTTTAAGAAGAAAACATCATGTGAAGGTATGTTCTAAACATCTTAACTTTTGCAATACAAAGTGGTAAACTTTTAAAATAAATCATTTATCATTAATATCTGTAAATACCATATTAGATATTTTAATAAAACTTGGTGTACATCTACTATGTACCAAGAGTTATTTTTTATGTATTACAATTTTTTTTAATTTCTACCAATCTGTTGCATGATTATAAAAATATAGACAATGTGCAGAGAAATAGCCTTTATTTTTTCAGGTGAAACCTCTTGTTAGGCTAAAAAAAATTAAGTGATTCATTATTTTATGAGAATTCAGTGGTGAACCACTGTCTTTCTATACTGCAAACTTTACCAACCCATATGTCAAAAGTTGAGATGTGTAGGGCAAATGTTCATATGAGGTTTTCTTTTTAAAATGGACCCAAGAATTGCCCCATTGAATATTGGTATTCAGTTAGAAAATACTCTGAATGTATTTCCTATTTACATGCCCTGCATCAAGAATTGTTGAAAATTTCCTTTGAGATATACTTTTAGAAGGTACTCTTTTGCAGCATCTGTAATTAGATTCTGGCTTATACATAATATACATGAGCATACATACTGAAGCTTACACATTTGTTTGATGCTGCAAAATATGGTAGAAAAAAAATTGTCTAGAGCATCCAAGTCTAAATTTATTCACTAATTAGGTATGTAGCTTGATATTTGATTGTTTTTATGCTAATGTGGAATAATATTCATTAGACTCTTGAGGCAAATAAACCGCTTTATGACGTAGTTATGTCGTAAAAAATAGTCATACAACATTATACAACAGAATGCAGCTGTAAAAACGGTTGTACAAACCTTGTATGAATGCATCATTTGCCTTTTTTTATACAATGATCTAATTGAAGGTCGACATTTTTGGTAAAGACTGTCAGAAGCTGAAAAATTAAACAACTGTGGATAATAACCTTCATCTGCTGTTTAACAGCATTTGGAATGTAAAAAAGAGATTGTAACTATAACAAAATGCTTATTGAACTTGCAAAGTGTAGGTACTTACCAAGGGTTGACAAGGACAGTCTGAGAAAGTACCCAAACACCACTCCGTAGACCATTGGGTCGTAAAATTGACTAGTGGTGGTTGTATTTTCGAAAACATGGTCTTCTGGGTCTGGAACCCCATAAAAGACTGTTGTTGGGGAGAGGATGCGTTCGTGCAGCTCCCCAAACCCCGAAATTCCGATTTTGAGGATTTCATCGATGACGAATAGGGGTGGTACTCGTAACACTACCTCCACCAGCCCTAGTACTCGACCTCGGAACGACATTTCATTGCAAGTACGGAGGGATTTTTACACTTTAACACTATTTTTGTTTGCGATGAATAGGCTTCGCGAATGACAAACGACATTGACGTTCTTGACAATTCGTCGCTGGTTGATTTTCAATTTCAATTAGCTGGCTGCCACCTAGCGATCATATACGTAATTAATCATTAATTGACATGCGACATCTACCAGCAGTTACCGAAACTTCTGCTTCTATATCAACCTCCATGCAGAAAAGTTCACTAATCAGTACGAGTTTCTGGTTCTTAGTTAGATGCTTGTCCTCAAGGTGCCGCTATGCAGCACTGAGGCCACAACTGAAGCACAGAGTTCCTGGATTTAGAGAGTTGGCGTAAGACAGGGGCGGCATAGGGCTAAATTCGTGAGGAATTTGAATCACAATAAATAATTAATGACTCTTTTAGACATAATGCAGGGCAAGAAAATTCAGTAATGAGACACATGTGAGCTAAATCCAAAATCCTATGCAGCACCAAAATATCACGTCGATAAGAAATTGATCACAATCAAAAACTGCAAATAACAGTCGCAACAGGCGTTTTTTTGTTTTTGGAAATTTAATAGTCATAAGGGAAAGAGCTGAAATTCTCATTTCTTGATGAAAGTGTTTATACAAGATGCCATAATCATAAGGGTTAAGCTCTTGTCACATGCACCAAGCTGAACTTGAAAGCTCATAACATTTAATTTAACTAATGATTATGTTGACTGTGATTAAAGTGTTGTATAAACTCTCCTTATCAATAAAGAGTGTTTTATCTGTGGTCAAACTAACATAATCGATACCGTTTCGCAAATAAAAAATTCAAGGCTGGAGACCAGGGGCTCATATATCGGTCCCGAGCTTAGATTCGGTATAAAGTCGACACCAGATCAATGCAACATATTGCCTGGATGGGGGTATATGGGTCTGCAAAAAGTGTTCATAGTAGGCCCCGTCAGTCTGACGGGCTGGCTATACTGGACAGAGGTAGATAATAGGTCAATCATTTGTTGCTTTACTGCGATGCTTTCTCCGTTACGTCAATGAACGTTTGCTCGCAACTTTCCTTGATGTTTCTATATGGATGGACTTGCTGACTCATCCTCGATGTTGTCCCTTCTCTTTTCAAATCATTCACGGAACGAGCGCGGCCCTAAAGGGACCAATCATAGTCTAGCCCACCTCGATGCTTTCCCTTGGACATTGGGAGGGAAAAATAAAATATTTTCTTTTTACTCGTACACATAGTGGCACAGAGAGCGTTTGTTTTCTATCGTGGTAACATCGACATCGCGATAGCGAAGAAAGCATCTTCACTATGAACGTATCCTAAGGGTGAAAAGATATTCTATCTGCCCCATGTGCAAGGAGAGGGACGAGACAACGTTTTACTGTTCAGGCTTTTGCCTTGTATTCTGACATTCATCAGGATAATGTTCGATGGATTTGTGGATAATCATGTGGAGTAGAGCGTTAGTACACTCGGCGTCCACACAAATGTGCCTAAGATGGCCTACTTGACTCGCTTTGTCTCTTCACCACTAGGTACTATAGTAACGTATTAAACAGGTACATGTAAAAAATATCCAAACAATCCGACTGCAGTAACTAAAAAGAATGAAGATTCAACTGCGCTATCAATAGAAATGTCGAGACACCTCGTACGTTAAAATTCACCAGGCCATTTAAGATGTTGCCCGTAACATTGGAATTTCAAGGTTGATTTTTTTAATTAAAAATCCAACATTTTTTTATAAAATTTTAGTACACAATTTTGGTAACCAGTGTCACTCGCATTGTCAAAATAAACGTAGAGATACTCCATAATTCATATGTCAGAACCTATCAAACCATTCAAGTTGTATCCCGTGAAATAGGAGATTCCGGCAAGTACTAGCTCATGAAATTGAAACTTTGGACACATACAACCTGCATACAAACGCACGAAAAACATTATCCTCCCTACCTAGACAGTCGGGTAAATAATATGTATTATCCCAGGTACCACAAGAACGTGAAAAGGACGTCGCAAACTGGTCATGACATAACGTAAGAGTAATGCGAAAATCACCTTCTAATGTCACATACCGATGACGCCATACAGCAGACGGCAATAATACGTCACTTGCTGGACGTGAAGATGACGTCTATTATTTATAATGAATAACCAGCTATTTTGTGTTATCAGTAGTATTACACAGACGAAGCACTATAGGCTATACTGGTACGTTGTAACATTGGTTCGGTGCTGCTCGCTTACACGACATTGGGGGTGGGAACACTACGCTAATGTTGTCATTTTAATATACAATATGCTAGAGAATTAAAATCACGTTAGCCTGAAAATGATTTTAAAATGGCATATTTTTATACAGTTTTGGGAATACTCAGTATGTAGAAGTTGAAGCAACAAGACGCGAGCACCGAGTACAAATGGCGGAAGCGGGAAGGAATAACGTCGATTGCAGCGATCCACGATTGTTGTGTCTATTGGCGCTCGATATAGCGTTGCCAGGTTAAAACTAAAAACATTTATAGTACAAGACAACATAACACACTGAATTTTTATGTTTTATCTAAATGTTCTGTCCAATAAGATCATTTCTTGTTCATTTTACACTCACACTTATTCTTAAAAATCGTTAGAAAACGTTAGAAAAACAACTTTCAGTTGCTTTGAGTGAACGTCGATGAGGGATGGAATTAGATTATTTCTCTGCTCGCTCCCTTGATCTGTTTTGAATCGATGAGATTTACTAAAACATCGTACATACACAAAAATGCGTGAGTCAAAAAAGATAACCTCAAGAACACGTAATAATAACGTCTTGCAGTGCCCGTGCACAACTGAACATTTGGTAGACGTCATTACGACGTCGATATTTGGAAAAATCACGTCAGTCGACGAGTTGTCACTAAATTTAGACGTCATTACGACGTGTTTGTGCTAGCTAAGATGCACGGAAAAACACGAATTATTGATAGTATGTGGCTCAGGTACCTATAGCCACTGCGTACCCATAGTCAATGTACATAAATAAAATTTGCACAAAATTAGAATGCATTAAGACGACAGCGATTAGCATTTTCATGATTATTAAGTAATGCAATTTGAAATTGATTAGTAATAATTGTGAATCACCATTTGATTTTAGTTTTGTCATCGCATGTCTATATTATTTGTATGACTTATAAGGTTTCTAGTATTCCAGTGAATGCAAAATAGAATCGTATTGTGATGAAAGTGATACATGTTTGGTAGGATGGAAATACACATAATCATAAAAATATTATGCATACGCATAATGCATTTTATACCGAGAGCTCTTCAAAAAGTATGTGAGGCAGGTACAGATTCGCAAAAGAGTTATCAAATCTGTCGCAGATATCCCCTTCACCCCTGCGAAAAATCCTTGAGGGCGCCCATGGAGAGACCCACTTCAATGCTACTATATTTTATCACAGCCTAGATAATAATCAGCTAAGAAACTCTTCTGTCAGTGTCAAAAACGTATCTAAATTCCGCGTGCCGCATACCACGCCATCGGCTGCAGATATTCTTTAGCAATCGTAAAAATATTCCGATGTCATCTACGAGTAGTGTAGTTTTTGTGAACCAATAATAAAAAGGAGTATGTCAGTTCAACAAGAGGCGACGAAGTATTGATGACTATGTACTTATGGAAAAGCTTTAAAATAAATTTGTACGTTTGCCAGGAATCTGCTGTGTTATTTTCAATCCATTGCATTTTCAATGCAAACAGCAAACATATGTGTATATTTGTGTTGCCGTGTAATTATGAAGCACCCTTTCTAAGTAAGGAGCGTAAAGTTGTCTACAATTTTTTATAACCAACTTGGGTATTAGAAATATTCGAACTTACCGACCACTTAGGTACACATTAAAAACTCGCCCTGTACCTACGTAGAAGCGTCCTAGCTGATGAGTCGTCAGAAGTGTCAGGTTTGATTGCGTTGGTTGTCACTTTGCTAGTGGTTTGCTCTCGTTTTTTTCGCAACAAAGACAGCGAAATTCTTGTGATTCAGTGAATGTTGTGTTTGCCTGGTGCTTTTAAAAGTGTTTACATTGAAAATGCAACGGATTGAGAATATTGCAGCAGCGGAAAATGCATGGTAAAAGTAATATTTTTCCGTTTTTATGCAAATACCCCTGCTACAATATAAATTTATTTTAAAAGTATTCCATGAATAAATAGGCATCAATACTTCGTTGCCTTTTCTGGAGAAACATACTAATTTTTATTACTACAACCTACAGTAGAGATAAGATCCGGATATTAAAATTTTGGCAAAGAATATCTGCAGCGGCTGGCAGGGTGCGCGGCAACACCTCTTTCATCGTTGTACTACGCGAATATACATGCGAATTTTCTCCGTCGAAATTGCGGCCGTTTTTGATACTGACAGGAGAGTTTCAGAGCTGATTGTCATCTGAGATGTGATTTTACGACATTGAAGCACTAGATGTTCATTTTCCCCTTGTACGTAAGTATCTGTTTAATCCCACTGTAGCTTGTAAAAACTTTTTTGAGAGGCTCATGATCCTTTTGTAACTGAAGGTTCTCAGCATACCTGAAACCTAAGCAGTCATGTGAGTCCGTCTGGCTACGGTCCTGTTCATACGCATGCCACATACATTTGAAATTATTTTAAGTTATTGAAATCTGTTCTAGGAAAAGAAATAGAAATCATTTTCTGGAAAATTGCCCTAGTCCCTGAAGAGATAATTAATGTATGTATAACGTATTAATCGGTTTCTTCGTTTTTTGAAAATAGACAGTTATGACGGAAGTCGGCGGAAGTGAGCAATTTGATAGGCAATTGTTTTCATTTCCACTGTTTTTATTGGTTAGGTAACCGTATTCCTGACTAGGGTTTTGTTTTGCTCTCAGCGTGCACTGTAAAGTTCGTTTGCAAAGTTTCTCCTGTAGAAATATGGATTTAATTCACGAATAAGCGATAAGGCCTGTGGATAGTTTGTGAACTTATAATATTCGGTTCCTAAAAATCATCGCGTAAACTTAAGAGTTTTGATACTTAACTGTGAAGTTGTTGCTGATGGTGTGTTATGGGGTCTGCTGATATTGGTGAGTTTTTGCATGTATGTCGCTTATCTTCATAATTCATATATTTGTTCGTTATTGGAGACTCGTATTCGTACATAGGTATACAGTGATATCCAAGAAGTGCTTCCTGCATATTTTTCGAACCGGCCAAGTTAGCGAGCTGGAATTCGGGCCACGAAGCGTTTTAGCCTAAAGGCGGACTCCCATTACTCGTGTATTTGGCAAATATTTGTCACTTGCCTATATTTGCCATGTAGTGGGAGTGGTTCACTCGGCCATTACTTGTACAATTATTTGCAGCTGGAGAAGTCCCGCAGGTTGTCGGTAAAAATACCGCGAGTCAAAGCATTTTCAATTATTTGCGTATTTGACAAGTTCATACTTGTCGATGCGCTCCCACTACTTGCCGGCTTGGCCGCAATTAATTTCTACAGTTGAGTCTGTGTTTGGCTTCTGTTGCGTGTGCGTGGTGCGTGTTCCCCTAGAGGTTTTTCGAAATGGAGTGGTCACAAGAAGTCGTTTTTAAATTTCTCGATCTGTATGAAAATAGCCAGTTATATGGCAACCTACGCATCCACAACATAAAAACAGAAACTTGATTAACGATGCCTGGCTACGCATCAAAAATAAAATATCGATCGAATGTACGGTTGCCGATTTGAAAAAGAAGAAAGAGTCATTGATGGCGTCATTTCGACCATTGTGGAGGAAAGTTAAGGCATCATCAAAAACAGGGACCGGCAGCAAGGACGTTTATAAACCAACTTGGTTTGCATTCGAGAAAATGGAGAGCTTTCTGCATGGGGTTTCAGTCGCAAGGAATACATATAATTCAGAGGTGAGTGAAAGATTGTTTTATTTTAAGATATTGGAACGGTACAATGAATATTTAACAGTAACGGTCCTGCCAGTGAACCTTTCCAGTAGTTTTGAAATAGCCACAAAATAATTTCCTTATTTCCTGAGCCTCACGACCAGCTTTTCTTGGTATTTTTTTGAGGGGTAGGAAAGATGTCATATTTTGTACATCGCTTCGCCATGTGCCGGGAATAATTGTGCCGTCTTGCTCTGTATCGATAGCGCCTGGCGGTGCATAGGTAGCAGAAGAGTCTTTACTGCTCCGTAAAAAATTGTGAAGCAGTGCACAAGTCATTGCTACTTTGCTGACTTTGTCGGGTTGTAGTAGCATAGGTGCTCTAAATACCCGGAAGACCGACGCTAGTATTCCGAATGCGTTCTCAACAATGCGCCGAGCACGAGACAACCGGTAATTGAAGACTCTTTCATCGCTGCCTGCTTCGTAGACTCCTTGGAATGGTTTTAATAAATGGGGTCCCAAAGCGAAAGCATCATCTGCGACGAAAACGTAAGGAAAAGTAGTTTGAGTATGATTGGGTAGAGTTTCATCGTTGGGTAACATCAGTCTATTTTCTTCGAGTTTTCTGCCCAAAACGGTATTGCGGAATACACCTCCGTCACTTATACGGCCTTGGCATCCAACATCCACATATGTGAACATGTAATTGGCGTCCACAAGTGCCATCATAACAACACTGAAAGTGTGTTTGTAATTAAAAAAATCTGATCCACTATTCATTGGGCTCTGAATCAGTATATGCTTCCCGTCTATAGCTCCCAAGCAATGAGGTAAATTCCACCTATTCTCGAATTCAATTGCAATTTTTTTCCATTCATTTGAACTTCTCGGCATCTGGAATAAAGAAATAATAACTAGAAACCTGAAGACAGCATTATTAATGAATATAATCAGAGTGTAATATCGTATACAGGGTGGCCCAAATTCGAGACACATCATTGAGATCTCCTAGTATACTACAGCTTTGGTTAAATTGTAGCAACGTTGCGTATGTTGGTGCTCACTAACGTGCCGCTCGAATTTGGGCCGCCCTGTGCGTTAAATTTCTTTATTTTGAAGGTAAAATCATGCTTAGAAGCTAAAAAATCATCTGTCTCATTTCAGAATTGGGAGGATAGCATGCCTCAAGAGGAAACCGAAGAAGATTCACTCACGGAATCTGCGTCTGCAAGTGGGGACGGTGGGACATACAAAGATATACAGAGACAGGCAGACATGCGAGGAAAAGACAGTAATGAAATCGAGGCAAACACGGAATCTGCATCTGCGAACAACGAGGGTGGAATCGAAGAAAGCACTGAAAGCAACCAAAAGCATTTCAAGGCACCAGTTGGGGGAGCAAAGAAAAATAAAAGGAAGGCCGTGGACATGGAGGAGACTAACCGTCGTATGGAAGAAGCCTATGAAATCATGAAACAATGTCAAAATACCGAACCACCCAAAACCAGTGTTTGTACTGCCTATGGGCAACTAGTGGCTAAGAGGCTCGAGACGTTAAGCGAAGTGGACAGGATTATTGTGATGAACGAGATTGATAACCTATTCTTCAGGGCAACAATGAGGTCCATGGGACCTCAATATCAATCTCCAACTTCTTTCTATTCGTCATCGATGGGACCTCGATATCAATCGGCATTTCCAGAACCAGCCTCCCCAGCATCTTTCTATTCGTCATCGTCTGATGAAACTTTTCATACAACTCCGACGATCACCTCTTTGCCACAGAATTCTGCAACTTCTTCCGCCCACCAACCGCCTCTTGCTCCTGAGATTCCAATAACTACTTGCAATGGTATATCCTTATTAACAGAAAACTATACTAATCTTTGACCATACTTTAATTTAACTTTAACCATGCTTTTACCTTATTTCTTAACTGAATAAACAATGTAGAAATGTTTGTTGTATACCTACTTTTATTTGATGGTTGAGAACGCTCATCAATGCATCGCAAACGTCGAAAACGCACCGGGATACAGTTTGTGGTGAAAATTTGAAGAGGTATGACAAACTCACGAAACTGTCACCACTAGCGAAGAATCTGAGAGCAACGCAGAAGCTTTCCTTAACTGAAATTGCCTTCCTCAGCTGAGTATCTTTTTTCCCTATCATATGTCCCACCTCATTCAGTAGAAATTCGAAGTCGGTGTAGGACATTCGCAGGAAATTCTCCAACCTTCCTGACGGTTCTCGAATCAGGTCCTCTATCATAATGGAGACATTGTACCTGCAAAAAAATAATTTTGACCAGTGTATCAATCTTGAGAATATAAAGGCATGGTATTTGCTTTTGGTAGATCAGGACAGATAGAGGTATTAACTTACCTCTCTCGACTTCTGCTCAAAGAAGTCATCCACCATCATCTTTTTCTTTTTGCTTTCTGAACTTGATGAGCTTTAATTCTTCTCATGCAGCCACTCAATACCACAAACGCTGCTGAAGCGACTACGCGACTATCCATGATGGAAAGAAAACAAACACTGAAGACCGAGAGGCAACGAAACCTGCTGTAATTGCCAAATACACAAATATTGGCGTACTTGCCAAATACAGGAGTAGTGGGAGCGCCCTATTTGTAAATTGAATTCGAACCTTGGTGTACTTGGCAAGTACGCAAATATTGGCGTACTTGCCAAATACACGAGTAGTGGGAGTCCGCCTTAAAAAGGGACAGTTAAAAGTTTCAAGATGGCGGCTGGACGCCCTTTTGAAACATTTTTTTTTATGGAATGGGGGGTCATGTGATACACAGAACATGATGTGTGATACCTCATATTGAAGCACTTTATGTGTACTTTATAACTCTGGAATAGAAAACTATCTTCCAAAATGGCGCACTGGTAGATGTTTTTGTACATCGAATCCGAATCGCTTATAACGCAACAGCTAATCATATTCTTCTCTTGTAAAGATCTATCTAAATGTGGGACATTCACATTAAAAAAAAATATTTTGACATTTTTTAGAATAGAGAATAGTCTATATTTTATTACATATTGGAATAGATCTTTGCACGGGAAGAAGATGAATATAAAATAGTCTTTTGTTGATTGGTTGTTGAGTTATGAGCCAGCCAATGTACAAAAACGATCAAATTTAACAGGATGCTAGATCACAACTTTTAATGATGGTGTTTTATACTCTAGGATCAGGAAGTACTCATAAGGAGTGTCAAAATGGGGTATCACTCGACTACATCATTTTAAAAAATCCAAAATGGTACCCAGCTGTCATCTTGAAACTTTAAGCTGCGATTTTTACGCAAAAATATAGTAACCATGCATCAACTTTATTATTATATTAATTACCACGAATTCTAGACTGCTAACTTGACCCGTTCAAAAAACAGGTAGAGAGTAGAGAGGGGCATTTTTAAAAGGTACTGAATAAGGAGAACTGCACTCAAGAACTGTGCCGTCCCTCAGGCCACACTCCTATTAGCATATACTATGGAATAACGTATTCTTCCTGAGAATATAGCCAACTTAATACTATACACTGAGACTGAAAACCTGACGTACTGCAATACGTGTGTTAGAAAGAGATAGAAGCACCTTGGTGCCTAGCAACCCGAGTGACGAGGTCGCGTACGCCATCGACGCACTCTTTCTAACATACATAGAGAAAAGGAACCAAATTTGAGACAAGCGCCTAATTTGAGACAGTGTACTTTGTATCTTTGTAGCACCATCTGCTAATAATACCAAAAGGTTGTGAACTAAGATGCAGTAGTATCCAACATGTGTTTATAGTGTAGTTTTGCACATGGTTTGCTGTGACATCACAACTTGTTACTTCTTGAGAGTTAAAACTATTTTTAATAGTGCGAGAAAAGTGATTACTAAAATTAAGGTAAGTTATTTAGAACAATTATTGTCTGATATGAATTTAGTAGTTTACAAATACCTTATTTATTTTCTTTTACAATATTGCGATTTAATTAGGTATATAACCTAAATATGCTTGTGTAAACTTTTTAACGGACAATTCCTAATTTGAGATACCCAAGTTTTCCTAATTTGAGACTATCTCAAATTAGGGCCCTGTATCAAGATGCAGATGCCTGGAAACACAAGAATAAGGAGATGGATTACTTAAAGGCCTCAAAAGGATTCTGATAGATACCTTGCCCCTCCAGTTCAAGTTCAGAATGCAGCGGAAGCCTTAAGTTGGATGATTCATCTTCAGACGAAACCAACATGAAAGCGATGCTGAACGTTTATCTTGTACGGGTCGATTTTCCGAAGATAAGAAGGGTGAAAATGGGCAAAATGCAGCCATTGTAGTAGATGGGCACATAAAGATTGCGAAGAAATTACCAATAAAATTTTCATTTGCAAAAGAAAAGGATTTTTTGAATAGTATCTCAAATTAGGGAACCAGCTGTAAATTCACAAAAATATTCACTTTTTTTAACATATACTTTTTGTCTGTAAAAAAATACATTTAATATTATTTTTTTATTTTAGAGTTATGCTAGGAGCATCAAATCGCAAGTTTATTTAAAAATATACTCTTGTTTAAAACAAGTACTTTATTTTTCCTTTTCAAAGAAAGTATCTCAAATCTGGTTCCTTTCCTCTATTTTACGCTTCTCTTTCGTACATATTACTCGTATATCCGTGCGTTCGAAAAATTAGCCAAGATGAAATGAGATATCGTAGTATCATCTGAGAGAATTTGTCACAGCTATCTTTCTCCGCTCCGCAATAGTTAAAAATCTGCTTTGGGAAGTTAGTGTCCCATAGATGGCGCTGTAGGCAGCTGCATATGATCTTATAGCTACAGCATTATGCTCATGTTCGTTTTAAGTTATCTAGGGGTCCCTCGGCAGACATGAAGCTCTGGGCCTCGTGCTGAGACGAGGCCCTACTTTGCCATAGTGGGAGGAGGACGGGGTGGTACCAGACTTTCTTTATGAAATTTTGTTTGATGTTTTCGGATTTGGAGGTTCCCCCATCAAGGCGTGGCGCTGGGCATGGAGATCGGGTGCCCGTAGGGTAAAGCCGGAATAGATTGTTGTTCTTCAATTGATGAGCTAAGACAAAGTATAGGAAGACTAGAGAGTTGCATCTCAGATTTCCGTTTTCTTCGAAATCCGGCCGTATCGGATCTCCGATGTTATGGAATCTAAAAAAAGAAAAACGCGGTCGATGTAGCGATACTGGAAGAAGAATACCTGTCTGAAAATGGCCGATGCTAACCACCTCGGGAGAGAAAACCTCTGAAATTTTTCCACGGCCTCGATAATTGTGGACATTTTTCCGTCGAACGATAACCATATACAATTCCTCTTTACCTGGAAGCCCGGCGTGACATTGCGATGCGTCGCCATCTACAAGGTATTCTTCGTCTCTAATTTTGTCCATTAAGGCATATGATATTAATTACAAGCTAATATAACCCGTAATTAGGCAACACGACAAAAAAGGCACGATTGGAGAATACTTTCGGTTTTTTGCTGGCGAGGTTCTGGTTAGCATCTTGTGAATCCAACGTTGCCGATACTTTGAAACTTAACCAAGTTTCTTTGTTTATCCCTGACCGTCTCGATACGAAATTTAAAAACTAGGCAATCTTGTGGTCCAGACATGTTTTGTCTTGACGGGAAAATAACCTTGCTAGACTCAGTGTTGGAATTGAAAAAGACGAAATCGGTTGAACAAAATCCATACGAGGAAAAAAGTCAGGTCCTTCACAAGATCAGCGATGAATTATGGGATTTTGTGTCAATCTATGAAAAAACTATATTTTTGCATTGCGCGGATGTACACAACATAGTTTTTTCTGAGGGCATCTGATCATGAAAAAAAATTCTTTATTATAAATTGTACAACTCCTTTGCAACCATCATTGAAACTCCTTTTGCGATTCTTGTTCATAGGATTGTAATTATTTTTCTGCTTCACCCCTGAACTGGAAGCCTCATATCACCTGACATTTTAATTTAGTATTGAATTAAATACAGACGAGCTTTGGTTTCCTTATTGATGTAATGTGTTAATAGGGGTGATCTACCTGTCCTGTTGAACACAAACATCGATTAGGGAAAACGGAATAAGCGATGGGCGTAGATAATTGTAGGCATCCCAAATCTACGTCACCCGTCCAGCACTTTTTAGTTAAAGAAATCTGGAAATAGGAAATATCTGAATTACTTTAAAAATTTGTGGAAAATGAGTGCGTTTCCGGTATTTCAATAAATAAGGTTTCATTTCGCCAGCACTGGCTAGACCTCTATCTATATCTATGGAGACGTGGAGCCCCCCCCAGACGTATTTATCATAAGGGCATTACCCTCCTCTGATTATCTAGTAATATTTTAAAATCCCCCATATCAAATGTCAAATGACACATAATTCTGACGGATACGTTAACGCCAGATAGACAAATGTTGTTGAGAAAATGTGAAATGTATGGAATTAAGGGTACAACCTTCTTCTGGATGGGTGATTATTTATCTGAGCGGTTACAAGTGGTAAAAAACAAACAAGATAAAATTAAATGTGAGAAAAACGAAATGTATGTTCATAGATTCGAAAAATAATTGCAAGAAATTGGTAGATTTAAATACGCCAGTGAAAATTGAGGGAGAGGTACTTGATTTTGTAGGTAGTTTTAAATATTTAGGTATCATAATAGATCAGCAATTAACTTTCAACAAACATGTTGACTATATGAGTCGGAAATAGGCAAAAAGATCGGTATTTTCGTAGAATTTGTGAGAATCTAAGTCCCTGGTGCAAAACAGTAGTCTAGAATACAACAATTTTTCCCATTTTACTTATTGTGCATCACTTTTGATCAGGTACATTCACAAATGAGCAAAAGCAAAGGTTAAAAATTCTAATAAATAAATGTATGCGGATTTTGTTGAATTGTATACTTCTATACAGGATATGCTAAAGGCATTACATTTTTTAAACGTACACCAAATTATTCAAGAGGCAAATTTAATTCTTTTGTTCAAAATTATTAATAATTTGGCTCCACCTTATCTTGAACAGTTTCTAAAGAAAAGATGTGAAATGCAATGTTACGACATTAGATCAAAAAAAATTCCATATACAAAGATTTAGATTTAAAGGTTTAGAAAAGTCAATGTTTGCTGAAGGTATAAAAATGTACAATCTGCCTATTGATGTAGAAATATCTTGTAATGCTAAATTTTCCAAAAGAGACTATTTTGGCTTGATGTGACGACCTCTTTGTAAATTTAACATATTTTTGTAAATAAATTTTATTATTGCTTAAAGCTTAATAAATCCTATTCTATTCTATACCAGCCGGAAAGCTGCAATGTGTTGCATTTTTTTCCATTTTTGACCTTAAACGCCCCCAACTTTTTTAGCTCGTACAACTGTTTCATACTCCGGCCATGACCTGCAGCATTTGCATTTTCTGCTTCCGTTTGCTCTACTTCCGTTGGCACCCACAACAACTTCTTGTAGCTTTATAGACGTAATGCTGTTAAATCCATTTATATTTAGTCATAATTACCATGAAACTCACCACAAAGGTATCCCCCCATGGGCGTAGCCAGCACTACTTCCTGCGGGGGAGGGGTGGCGCATTCATCACAAAATGTCGTTAAAAACGAAACCTATCAAGAGATAACTGAATTTTATTTTATATTATTTTCTCAACATGTTTTGCTATAAGGATTTAGCTCAGGGGCGTAGTCAGTACTGTATAATAATAATGCAGTACTATTCTCTCTCCAACTATTATATTTTTGGTATATTGAAATAGTAAGCAAATAAAACAGTTCTTAGAAGTACATCTTGTAAAACACTTTATTGGATAAAAAGAAGCTAACATACTGGGAAAACACAATCGAGTCTGGCACTAGATTTTTTGGATTGGATCTTTTTTATTTTTAAATATGAAAAAATCTCGGTCCATACTACCCACCTGCCATTTCACTGTCGATTTCGTCACGGGAGAAATAACAAATGAAATAAATATTGTATATCACAGTTGCTATAATTGCACGTATGCCCTGGAATCTGGAATGATTCACTGTTCATTTAAATGATTTACTTATTTATATCGCACGAACATATATGTATAAAAACTAATTTGGCGTGGTCGATGACTGCTACAAAGTAAGGTTATGCTTTTGCAGCTTTTGGCGCCATTATTTGTGCGTAACAAGGCGGTGCGAGCGCCACCACTGGTGCAAGAGAACAAAGAACTGAAAAACACTAACTTGACTCCTCCAACTCGACTTCATCGACGGGCATAGTACAAATCTGAAGGAATAGATGGCACCATTCTCCGCATAGTTTTCACTTGAAGAATTCACATATACTCATACAGGGGTGAAATCATACAACAAATAACAATAAAATTGACAGTTGCCAGATTTATGCAGCGATTTTAAACTTTTAGTTTTAATCAAGAAGTTTATTTATCTAGAATTCAGAATTCACTAACAATACCCAATACGCAAAACAAAAATCCACTGCACAATAAACAATTGCTTCTTGGAATCAGCATCAGTCTGGGTCTGGGAGCTAATTACCTCCTCAACCCCCCTCTTGGCTACGCGCATGCTATTCCCAATATCATGTATTCATTTTTGAAGCTTGATCGAGAAATCTTAGGTATTGTTGGCTTTCCAAAATTAAGTATAATTGTTCCTATGCTGTACCGTTAATAAATAGATAAATACGTATTTTCGTTTCTTTGCCTTATTTAATTTATTCCTGTTTGGTAACGACATACACCTAGTATGATTGGCCACTTGAATATCCTTTCCAGAGAAAAGATTTAGCCAAAGGTATGCAGTTTTGACGACAAACAATGCAATGTAAACATAAAGGCCTGCCTCCTGATCTATTCGAATTCTTTGGTTGGTATAATGGTCAGCACATCCATTCATTTTATTTGTATTTAGCCGGCAACAGTGGCTACCATCTTGCACCAATTATACGTTACAATATAATTAATTACGGGACATCAAATGCTCCGTGCATCCGTTGAGCAAGAACTTCGAAACTCGCTCCGCGGACTGTACCTGCACGGAACAGAGACGTCCACCTCTAGTGCGAGAGAGAGAAAGAGAGCAAGCGATGGTACAGTAGAGATAACCACCAATTAAAAGACGTGTTGTATATTGAATAATAATTACTTTCGGCTACTAGCCTACCCTGCGTCGACGCACTGATCACGGACTTCACTGCATGGCGGCATGCGAACGCTAGACAAGGACGGAGATAGTGTGATCGGTCGTGATAGAGACCAGTTTACGTAAATTAAAGAAGTCGCTTGCAATTTGTGAAATTATTTCGCAGAATTCGTCTGTCCGTCTGTCGTTCTTTTGCTTTAGTCGGGGAATCGTTCCTACCTTTGCTGGATTAAGGTTACGAGTCAGGCTCGAGTGTCTTCGTTCTTGAAAATGACCCGTTTTTAAAGCAATATAATATATGTCAAGTATGGGTGTATGTACAGTGGCGACGCGTGACTTTTCCTAAACTGTTACCAAAACCAGATGTGAAAGATCTTATTAAAAACATTTTATTTTGAACCTACCAAATATAAGTTTTTGCTCATTTTAGGTATTTTGTTTAAACTTTTTTTAAATTAAGGTAAACATTGCTGCACTGGGCGTCTGGGGCACTTGATATACCTCATCGTGTTATGCTATGACTAATCCAAGCCTTCCGAAAAAACAGTTGACGTTTCTAGATGTTCAGAAAATTTTTGATCTTTTTGGCAATTCCCTGTAATTTCCACTATTACCAGTCATCCCCTTCAAAATGACCCCGAAATGGTAATTCCTGATTGGCCAAAAAACATACGGCATTTATAAGAGGGCTGCCTAAAAGTTTGGTCAAGACAACTTTCGATTCTTGTTTTGCCAAACTGAATCAGATTGGCTACACATCTCACATGTAACGGAGAAATTTCATGTCTCCTCTTTAGAACCCTAAGACTATTTAAATCGTTGACTCCGCTGCTGGTCCACCCATTTTTTTCTGTAGAAAACAGAAGACGGCCAACATTAAAATCCGTTTTTCTTGCAGCCACATAACCAAGAGTTTTCACTATATAATTTAAAATATCGAACTACTTTTATATTCCTTTTTAAAATTATCTAAAATAGGTGTTGGGTCTTCATTTTCAATGATCTCCTTTTTTTTCTTCACAGTTATATAAGGAGAATGACTTTTCAAGTAGTTGATCGATTACGTAGCGACATTCATCCGTTTAATTGCACGCACACTACAGCCGGTAACCAAAATGGCTACTTATAAGTGAGAAGTCAGTAACCAAAACAGAAAGTGGTAACAAGCCCTCATAATAGTCGCAGCGGCCCACGCACTCTGGCGACCGCGATCAGACACGAGCCGGCTCCGACGGTCCCCGACGGACTATCAAGTGTATCCATAAACGAAAATGGTAACAACCGACAACCAAGTCTTTACTGAAGTACTATTACATATTGCTGTTGGTAAACATATAAATGAAATTATTCCACAGCACTTAGTCATATAATATTCATTTTCAAGATTTTTAACTGTTACTAATGGTAACAATGGTTACATGGACGCTTCGCCACTGTGTATGTTGTTGTTCTGAGCTTTTTTGTTGGTGGGTGACAGCTTAAGCATACTTTTTTTGTTCCTTGCCTCGATCCTACTGATCCTTCTATTCGTCATTGTCTGCCAGAGCGGTCAGTATGACCTTTGCTGTTGGTTAAAGTATTGTAAGTCAGTAGATCTGTCAGGTTTGGTTGCCCAGATACCAGGCAAAGTTAGGAAGAAAGAAGGGAAGGAAGGAGGGAGAGCAAAGAAGAAAGACGTGTGTTAGTTTGAGGGGTAACTTGGTATTGCTAACTAGGATTCAGGAATTTTCAATATATCCTAAGATTAATTTAGAAATTGGTTGTTGAAGAAAAAACATAGATTTGGTTGGACCTAAAGTCGCATGATTTAATTTTGTTCCCAGAGCGAACCGCGACCTTGTGTGCTTGCGAACTTGCTCGACTGTGTTGTCTACTGACTCGCGCAACAAAGGGTTGCTATGTGATTCCGCATGACCATAACGTAGCGGCGCTTGTTCTTTGATCTAGTCCCTTGGATAAGCGATGTCAAGGTCTTTATGAAGGATCTCATTAGAGACATACCATGGGGCGTAAGGTTCTTCTATTCTGCCAATCCTGCAGACTACGCAATTGCGCTTTGGCAAGAAAACACCAAGCCGCACTTGCGTAAGTGATCGCTGGCCTAATAACTATTTTGTCTAGCCAAGCTTTGTTTAGCATAGGGTGGAGTTGCCGAAATGTGATTTGGAATTTGGTTTTTCACGCATCAGTGTGCTTCTGCCAGGTCATCCCCTTGTCAAGAGTGACACCGAGATATTTAGCAGAACATTCCCATGGTACCCGAGCTCCGTTTATTGAAACCTCAGATGTGGCGCCACTACGTTTTTTGGTACAATAGATTCCCAGACTGGGCCATCAGAGCACGGTCATCAGCATCAGCATAGAGATAGATGTCACATTCGCTGCGGCAACGCAGATCATGGATAAAAAGTAACGAAAGGATTGGTCCAAGAACCGAACCCTGAGGACACCGGATTTCATGGGCCGTGTTGCCGACGAATGTTATTAATTTTGATCTGAAATTTTCTATCTTCAAGGAAGGATTTCAAAAGTTTTAGGAGCCAGAAGGAGTAGCCCGTTCGGATAAATTTGTAGAGAAGGTTCTTGTGCCACACCTTGTCAAATGCCTTTGAGACATCCAGAAGCGAGATGCCAGTAGTTTCGTTACTGGTGAATCTCCTGGTTACTTGCTCAACAAGCCTAACTGTCTGTAACTCCGTATTATGCTCAGACCGAAAGACAAATTGCACGTCAGGAATAGAGACACTATTATTTTCAATGAAATGCTCGAGCAGGGAATAAATACTTACCGGTCACTTTTGCTCCGCTGATGAAACTGATTCTCTGATAAAAAAATACATTTTCGTATATAAACTTATGAAGGAAGCAAGATATGGAAATTTAGTCCTAGAAAAGTCTCAGAAAACTCATTTTATCGCTAAATTGAGTAGGTAGATTACGACTCTGATTTTTTATTTAAATGAAATATGTAGGCTCTTAAACAATATGACAAAGTTAGCATTATATTGTTCTTCATGGCCAATTATAGGAAGATTACTTTTTTAAGCGTTAGGACTTTTGTATCCATCCCATCATTAAAATCCGAAATTGATATCGCCCAGTTCATAAAAAACTCAGAAGGAGTGCTTTTCTGGTTATATGAAACATATGGCTATCTGATGACTTCAAGGCTTACCTGAGAAATTCTGATTTTCAGTAACGAGAGTTGATGTATGACATACATTTTTGAAATTAGAACCAAAAACTATGTGTAAAAATCCAACATGGCGTCCATAAGAAAAAATAAAGTTGATGATTGAGGATAAAAGACAAAACGGTCGTGTTGAAATTCTAATCATATCACCTTGTTAATTAATGTGCAATTTATTTTGAACTCGCATCTCAAATGAAAAAATAAAAACGATTTTGGAAGAACTTTATAACAATAGGTGCCATTTTTAC